GAATGTGAATTATTTGAAATTCATTTGGATGACATGAAAATCAATAGTCGACAAGTCAGCGACGTTTGAAAATTAATTATAAATTTAATACCACACGGAAATAGAATTGCTATCTACAGCTATCGATTTATCGCACCTTTTAGAAATTTTGGGTCACATTTTAAAATATTCTCATTATTATTAAAATTTCAATTTCTCATTGTTTTATCAATATTGGAGTATTTTATTAGAATACTAAAAAACGCAAAGCTAAAATTATTAAATCAAAAATAGATTAAAATTGATTACATTAAGTAAAATGGGGATTTGATGATTTTTTGTTGCAATATAAATTTTTATCTATAATTAAATAAATAAATTAAAGTACTTAGACGAATAAAAGTAAGAGATTGATAATTGATATTTAAAAAATTATTTATCTAAAATATGAAATTAAATTAAGAGAAGATATATTTCATTTTTATACGTCATTCCTTCATCTCCTCATACTTAAATAATTGTTTAATTACTCCAGAAGAATATTTTTTTAATAAGTTTGGTAATTAAAGGAAAAAATCATTATAACAACAAAACATGAAAAAATTCTAATTACTCAACTGAATAATACTTTAATCCATAAATAAAACTGGAAAAAAAACTCATCACAAATTTCTAACAACCTATGATGTCTTCAATCAAACAAACTTTTCATTATTATTGAAAATCTACAATCTAAAAATTCGATTACCATTTGACCTTAAGAAATAATAAAATTTTTTCCAAATAAAACATTTTTGATTGAGTAAAAAAAAAATTTTCTTCAACAATATTCTTGAATACCCACAAGATACATATAAAGTGCAACTGATTTCTAGAACGATGACATGAAGAGTCTTTGGAAGAAAAAAAAATTTGTAAGCGTAAAAGTATCTGGATTTATTGAAAGATGCGTCATAATAATAAGTAAGTCTGTAAACGCGTGTATCACGCGCAAGCAATGGAGACAGGGCTTACAGGTTAGCCTCGGCCCACATTGGCATAACACTTTCACTGACGTAACGTACTTGGTTGTAAACTGTTGCGTTGCCATTCCCCTTTTTTCAATGTGTCGAGTATAGACATAGAATAAAGTGCATATGAATTTGCTATCAACTCCACAACACACGTGGATTAACAAACTCATTACATTTCCGTACATACGATCTTCTTATATCATAATTTTTGTAGTGAATAAATTCCAACAATAAAAATCAGACCGTTATCATTTAGCAATCAATGAATTGATGTCAATATAAAATTTTATTTTTCTTCTTCATCAGCAATGAAGAGCGTCTTTCTTCAAATTTCTTCAACAAGTACATACACAAAAGCATAATCATTTATATAAAACTCCAATCACAAAATAATCATGACAATTAACAAAGATTCTTTATCATATCAATTATCTAGATCTGTAAATCTCAAGAATAAAGACAAGGAAGACAGAGAATAAAAAAAGAGACAACAAGAGATTGCGATCGTACTCGATGAGTGAGTAGAAACGCGTGTATAAGGAAATTCTCGATGGCAAAGCACGATTCTCTTGCGAAACTGTTTACCTGCCGGCACTATACATAGGATAGGGTCCAAGGATAAAGGATTACATGATTCTCTACATAAAATAAGTCTCTTTACTCACACTGTTAATAATAACAACAATCCCACAACCATCAACATAATCAAATTCTATTACATTTTTCAACTCACTTCTAACCTGCTTGGAATATAATTATGTTTATTAAATAACGTCTTCCTGTTATTAAACATTTTTCTAACCTTTTTTCAAAGCTAAATATTAACCTCCATTTATTACCCAAAATTTCATGGGTTGAATAACATTTATCTATATGATAAATCTCTAATTAAATATGGATAGTGTAATATTTTAACCTTTCATTCGTTAGAAAAGAGTACAAAAAAAGTATGTATAAAATGGAAATGAAAAAGAAAAAAAAGAGAAGATGGTAATAGACTAAAATGATTGGAAGCCCTGACCCCGATTACACAAAATGTCAACACTCCTGGTACCTACTTGGAAGTAGTGATTCCTTGCGAATGTGCGTGTGTACGAGTAGTCGTTGAACAGTCACTTTCAAGCATTTACAGACGCTAAAACATACGGCCTATCAGACCATGAGGCAATACTAGGAAGCCGGTTGCTTAATTCCCGGAGGCTCTTGCTTGATACACGACATCAACAAACTTACACTCACTCGCGTATTTCTCATTTTACGTTCGTACCAAGTCTATTTAAATTGTACGGAAACATGTCTATTAAATTATCATCCTTACGTTTTTCCTATCAATTTGTCACGTTTTTATGTCAACATTTTCTTAGATTATGTGATGATTAATCCGATTATTAGAATTCTCAGTCGGCAGAAAAAAAAAAAAAAATAATAATTGCATTCAAGATTCATTTATTGAAGATTATTATCGTTTCATAATCAATGGTAAATTTTTGAAAAATAAAAATATACTTGATTATTTTTATTCTCTATTATACAAGAGTATTTTAAAATATTAGTTACATTATTATACTGCATTCATTGATTAATATTCTTTTGCTCGAGACGATTATTTAATACATACAAATATTAAACTTTATTCTATTTCAAACAATGTTAATCATCAAATTGAATCAATCAAATATTCACTCAACTTACGTTATATTGAATCAAGTCTAGTTTCTTGTCTGACAAAAATATAAATTCAAGACGAAAGATGTCGGGGACAAAAATATTTCTCAATTTCAAACTTTTTTTTTTTATATCACCATATTAATCTCCAGCATCAAATTCTAGAAAGTTCATTAAGCAACAGCTTTTTTTTTCTATACATTTGTTAATAACTGAATAAAATTTTTATTATTCTTTTTTTTATTTCAAGAATATTAAAATAATTTATTAATAAAAATAAAATCGATCAAACACAAGGCGATTAATCAAAAACAAAAAATATCATTCTCTGTCATTTAATTGTATTATAATGAGCAATAAGTAGTTATTAATAGTACAAAAATACATTTTTTAAATGGCGTCGTTTCGTTAGAATGATATGGCTGTTATTGGTCGGTACATTATCAGATTATTAGATGATGTCGAAAATATATGATAAGTGTAATAATGATACATCTGTTTTCTTTGTCAATATGCATAGTTTGGTATGTCGAAAGGTACTGAAGCAGATCGGGAAGTTAGAATTTATTTCAGGGGAACCTTTGGGGTCTTGGGGCCATGAGTTGAAGATTTATGCGTTCAGAAAGGGTCAAGGGAATAAAAGTAACAAGTGCAGGAGACAGACAGCTGTATACAAGGGGAAAAAATCACCGAGGGAAACGTCCAAGTTTTTCCTAGAGGATTAAAGGGCTTTTTGTGTTCAATGCCCCGTGTCATTTCGACAAATCAAACTGTCTATACATCATTCTAGAAAAATTTCATGTTAAAAAGAACAAAAAAAATTTTCCAAAAGTTTAAAATAACACGAGAGTAGGTTGGAATTCCGATTAATGATGAGAAAATATCTTGACCACGCGTATACATTAATGATTGATGCGAGAATCCGGTGAGATTGTCACGCATTTGTAAACACAGCGAAAGTGATACACGTCCTGAAAACGAACACTTTCTGGATGTTTATAACGAGCATTGCGTGAGCTTATAAGTCGTTAATACTAGTATTACAATGTCCATATCAAATATTTTTTCTTTTTTTTTTTTATAAATAATCCTAGAAAAGTGTATTAATGTGAAATCTTTTACTTATACGGAATTCCCCGTATTAATTATATAGTTTAATAACAAAATAAAATATATGTATTCAAATAAAAAAATCTTTAATATATACTTTCACTGTAATAGTTAAAAATTAACTATTATTTACTTAATATTTAGAACAAAAGTGAAAATGTTTCAACTTTTAATAATTCACTCTCAAATATTTATAATTTTTATCGATGATTATAAATGATGTTTTTAAAATTGATTTTATTTTTTCTAGTCCAATACGTAGAATCTATTTAGAGTACATCCTTTGATAAGAAAAAATATAAATTATTCATTGGAATTATTTAAATAGCAATGATTTTCATTCACTTTCATTTGGTATATTTTACTGATTCAACTCTGAATGAACTAGATTTATGTATCAAGAACCCAGTAAACATGATGAATGAATGAGAGAGAGATCAATAACTGACCAGTGTACTAAAACTTTATTGTAGATTTCATGTTGATCACGTGTATTTAAATGTATGCGAAATAGCCTGCAGCGCGATCAGGTGTGTGGTTAAATGTCGCACGCGATTACAAAAGATTCGTATCAATGAGGGACATTAAAATAATTAAATGAGAAAAGAATTTTAAAAGAGATAATGACTTAAATGATTGTAAAAAATATTTCAAAATATACTTTTTTTTTTATTCAGAAAGCTTTTTCAGTTTATGTTCATTGGAAATAAAGAAAAAAAAAAGATAGGAAATAAATTTCTCAAGTGAGTAGATCAATTGAGTAGAAATAAAACAACATTACTGGTACTAAATTGCGCGATCATACACACTACACGTTCATGTATTACGACATGGTTGTAAATTGTTGAAATTGGGCCACGCATAAACATGATGCGTAGAACGTGTGCGCTTACCTTTACTCAAGTCATTTTCAAGTATGAGAATGGCTACGCAATTATTGCTAACGCGGATGCCCGTTTGCGATTCGTTCGGGCCTTGGCCGGTTTCCCTTTCATATCAGTAATCCCAACCACATACCGGTTTGTAGATCCGATCATAAATATGGAAGTTACTTGACATGTGTAAAGAATACACTAACACAAATTAAGACCTCAGTAAATATTTTCATTGACTGCATTACCATTAGACAGAAAAATCATTGTTAATCTTCAGTAGGTAAAAAAGTTTTCTTCCATATTTATCCTCAAATGATATCTTGAAATTTTTACTTCGACGGATAAAAAAGATTCCTACCTTTACTGGGTTCCGGTAAGATATTTTCCTCCGTCTTGATTTCTGCTCTGGCTGCATACGATGTTGAAGATACCGGTGAAACTTGTATGGAAGGTGCAGCTAATTTTTCTGTAAATAAAAAATATAGAATCATGTGCTTTTTTGTATAAATTTTATTGAAGGATACTCACCAGCTAAAAGAGGATTTGCAGCAGCAATATTGTACCTTTGCCGTCTACACGAATTGGCCAAACTAATTTGCGCCGTTGTCGACGTTGGTTGATTGGCTTCGGCCAAATCAGCTTGTAATTCTCTTAAAAATGTATCTATAGTATCAAAAGGTTCTTCACTAACATTCGAAATGCCTTCACCATCCTCAGAAGATACATTGGAAGCGCTTGGTGCACTCACAAGAGCACTCAATTCCATCGTCGAAAACTCTACAGACTGAGCTGTATTGTTTTCCTAAAACAAATTTCCAATTAGTTTCTCTATTTATTCAACCAGCTCTCTAACTATCCTACACTACAGAAATTACAAGATTATCTTGCAAAAATCTTGTAAACCCTATTGATATTCATCCCACGTTTATCTCTCGCATGAACAATACATTTTAATGAGTCTTTGGGCGTGATATTTCTGCGATAGATTTACAAAACCAAAGTAACATTGTATATGATGATCAGATAGTCAGAGAACATATTAAAGGATAATGTTAACGTATACTAACTTGAAGACATTGAGTTAAATCAACCATTCGGCCATCATTGTCAGGGCACCATAACAGTTCGTCGTCTATGAAGGGCATGTTTGATTCCTCCTTGGGGACAAGGCTGGAGGTCAGCGTAAGCGTTTGTGATACGGGGACCGGCATCGAGACCCGTGCCGGGCGGCGGGGCCTTTCTAGCCACCCCCGCGCCTTCTAACATTCAAAACCACCGACAAATCTCCTCTACTCGCTGTCAGCTGGATCCCAGCTTCTCTCTACAATAAAAATAATTAAATTAAACATATGATTAACTGATCTAATTGGTCAATTTATCATTAGATAATCTTTAAATACAAATTTTCTCTATTTTAATATGCATTACACGCTTAATGCACTGATTCATTACATTAACGAAGAAGGAAAGAGTATCTAGATTGTCCAGCACTCAGGTCTAAAGACAGCCCAATAGTTAAAGTGATTACACATAATAGATATTAAGTATAAGACTCGACATTTTCATGAAAGTGAAAACTAAATGAAAACTTTCTTTCTATAGGCTGTTTCACTTCCTGAGCGCGTAATCTTACTCTCTTGCTATCTTGTTGATGCATTTCTGTGCAGTACCTCCACTAGTATTTATGTAATCGCTAACCAAGAAAGAAAGTTTCTACCTCTCAAAGGTGAATATCCTTACTCGTCTATGTGCAACTATGGAATGCATTGAAACTCATATTTTACTAACGCAGACACTCAAATAAGTATAATTATACGAAGCTAGATAATTTTTATTGTTCAAATTCAATGTAAGAAAATTTGTTAAGAAAAAAAATTAACCATTCATTTCATTGAATTAAATATTAAACTTGATATAGATGTTAACTGCTGTATTATTCGCATTCTTTCTTTTACAAACCAGTTTAATCATGGAAGACGCTGAATCAAGTTCGTCAGATGAAAGTTTAGACGTGACTAATACAAGTTTTGATCCATTAAAATTTTTATATTCTGAAAAAACAAAAATTCCCGTTCCAAGTGCACCTATTTATGATAATGTATCAAAATTCGAAACAAAATTAAAAGGAATAGTTACAAAAGTAGGTATTTACATTGTAATCATCATGTTGAATCAACAATTCGATGAATTTTTAATTCCCAATTACTTCTTTCATTAAAATTGATTTTCCCTTCCAGCCACGTGCCCATTCTAATGTGTCTAACCCACATCCTGGTAAGTATTTTAATAATTAAACTCAGTTTATTTAATAAATAAAATTTTGATTATTCTTCACGTTACGTATGTATTTCAATACTGAGGTTAGGAATGTTGATAAAATGTTTCTATAACTTTGGTCAATAGATGGCATTAGAGTGTCGGTTCAAATATTTCCCTCCATATTTCAAATAATTTAATATTTATCATGATTTTAAATAGTATCAGTGTAGTTCAATAAAAACAATTATCAAGCATAATTAAAATAGAGAAATTGACCTTACATATTTGTAACATAAGGTATTCTAGTCTTATTAAAGCAGTAACAAGATAAAAATGAATATTTGTTATGATGAATGCTTGTATGCAAGATGGCAATGAATCTTTAAATCACCGATGAATGACTCACAAGTACCGCTATCTCAATCTTCCACCCTCTCTTCCTCCCGCCCTACCTGTTTTCACGGTCTTATACTCAGACAAAACTCGATATTGACTTCTATCCAGATATTACCTGGCTCAAGTTACTATCTAACAAGCCACTATCAAGGTCATATAATACAAACTCAAATAATATAAGTCAAAGATAATTTACAACTCCTTATAATTATCCTTTCAACAGAAAAACATTACATCAATACATTTTTCAAGTATTCCTTGGAATTTAAAATACATGTATCCGTGAAATTAAAAGAAAGTGCAAGGAATATTTAAATATTGCGTTTTAAAATAAATTAATTGAAATAAAAATCAACTTACTTTAAAATTATTGCATGAATCTTTTTAGACACTATAAAAATTTATTAATTTAATTCAATATTATTACTTTATAAATCCAAACTATTTTAGCTCGTTAATTATTTCTAAATCATCATTAGAGCATTTTATTAATAAATATTAAGATCTTAAATAAAAAAAAATAGGCTAATTTGAAAGGATTTGATGATGTTAAAATAATATGGAGGAAGTTGATAAGCTGAAAAAGGATTAAATGAGTTCCTTAAGTGACCCCGAATAATGATTTATCTATTGGCGGACGGCCAATTGCACGCGTTACTCGATAAATCATGGATCCCTGACCCAGTGTAGTTTTATATTTACGTGTGCACATGAATGTATATGTGTGAAAGTCACGCACGCGTATGTGCATTCATCTTTATCACTCTCTCTCTCTCTCTCTCTTTCTCTCTCCTTTCATCCTTCTCACTTGGCAGTCATGAAGCCAGTGAAGCTTAGTTAGAATAGAATGTAGTGAGAGACTTGTACATATAAAATCGAAGCGCGGTGAAAAGCGCTCGTAAAGTATAATACGTATATACATACTCTGTATACATATGTATTATATATACGTGCTGTGAAAGAGAGCTCGAGCGAGGAGTAAGAGAGAAGACTCTTGTGGAGGTTGTAGAAGGGTCGGGGAAGGTAACTCGCACGCGTACATATATTTGCAATGCAGGGTGGGGACGTAGGGTGCTGTAGAGTATGTATGGATGGAGTGCAGCACTTGTTGCGTCGGACGTCGACCTCAACTTACTCGCATCTCTGGCGCATACTCTCTCATGCGTCTTTTCCAAACCAGCATTTTCACGTGCTCCATCATCTATGTATACATATATACAAACATTAAGCAATGCTTTTACAAATAAATTATGCAAGTCAAAGTAAGAATTGACATCAAACAATTTTGATGATAAAGTTATTTATTTTGACATCACAATACAATATATATCCAAGATACTGATGAAGAAAAAAAAATACCAATATGATATTTTGATAAAATAATTCGAGTGCTTAAAAATTTTGTTACGTAATACTTATTTTATTTTTGTTATACACTTGAGGACGGCTTCCGGTTACTCGTAGCCACAGAACATCATCAAGTGTATGGTTTAGTATGCTATACATTCATACACATGTTTAATGATCTAATTCCAAACGTTAGTGTGTTCATCCTGACCTATCCTAATATATACCAAACGATGATATAAAATCTTATCAATTCGATAAGCCCAGTCGAAAAAGGTGTATTTGAATGTACACTTTAATTCTAGGAATTGAAACAATTGAATAAATCAATGCTCTTGATTTAGACACCTGTATGTCGGATATAGAATAGTGTTCTGATAAATGAAGTCATAATTCATTGAACTGAAACTCGGGTATGATGAATAATGGCAAGCGGGCAACAGTGGAAATCATTCGAAGGGCCTTATTGTCGCGAAAGTAACAGTACCTACAGCTAGTTCACGTAAAGCAAAGTCAGCAAGAGCAAGCAAGGTATACATGTGGAGTGGGCTGGTGCTCGGCCGCTCTCGGGTGCGCTGCCCGCCAGGACGTTGAACCCAGCGCGACTCAACTTGGGGATCATCTATGGGTAGGAGAGACTACTCGGCTCTAGCTAATCAAACTATTTATTCACCAGGTAATTGTTATAGTTTGGTATGTAGGCCTGTTCTATTTTATTGCTGTATTGTTTCCGATCATGATTGCAGATAAGTCATGGCTTGAGAATGGAATTTTTTTTTCTGGTTTATTTTTTTCTTTCCCTTCTTTGGTAGATGTCAATATAATAATGGTTGTTTTGATGAGCGTTTTGATATTTAATCAGATTATTGGACAAGTATTTATTCCATTAAATGTTGTATATAAAATTACATAGAGATGAAAAGCCTCAATGTATCAAAACACTTCCTCACTCTCTCTGTTATTCAAGTTTGCGTGTGCAAACCTAACGGTTTCTTTTATATACAAGCGCAGAAATGCTGGCGAGGCCGTGTTATCGTATCTAGAGAAGCCTGTCGGGATGTATAAAAGAAGAAAAACAAAGAAGAGAAGAGAAGAAAAAATAAAAGGAACCTTAGGATAAATTATATGACAATGATTGTAACCAAAAGATCTCCAATTTCCCATCAATTCTCATTACCTTACCAACAATATTATTGTTATTATTCCTATTGAATGAAAATAAAAAATCAACGTGGAATATTTATCATCGATACGAGTTTTGCCTATGGCGATAATATATGTATCGTTTTTTTTCTCATGCTAATTCTTTTGAGAAATAAATTAAACAATTAAAGTCTTTTTTATAATTTATGTCACGTAGATATACGTAAACTCTTGCTCTCGTCTTCGCCATTTGGATCAGGCGATAGTGAAAGTTTTCCCCACCTCCTGGTGTCTCAGATAGACGTGGAATGGAACAAAGAAAGGTGAAAAAGAAGCGTGATTCCGCGTAGTAAAGAGAGAGAAACTGTAGCTAAACTCACTCTCGCGTTATTGCTGTTGCTCCAGCGTTGTCTATGTAGTAGGATGAAAGTTATCGGAGAAAGCCAATTGGCACTGGCAATCTCGTATACCTGATTCGCTTCCTTGAGTCTAGCCTCCCGCACTTTTATACAGCTATCTACCATATACACATATCTCGGTACTTTCCATGAATACTATTATTATCATATTTATGACATAAAAATGACGACTTTTCTAGTCTTATCGATGTATGTTTCAGCATCTAGCCAATGTACTGAGGAATTCGATGCTTTCAAGAACGGCAAAAATGTTTTGTCACGCATGGAAAATATCTTGGGTCCTCTTCAACTTCTCTACAATTGCGTCGAGACAAAGACTAGGATAAAGGTACGTAGATAAAAATGAAAGAATTACTAGACATTTGAGATGTTAAAATATTTGGTAAGGTATTTGAGGGGACTATTTTATCACGTACTAGTCGAGTGATAGCTAATAAACCATTTTATATCATTATTTATTATTCATATTTTTATTTTTCTTTAATAAAAGATGATATTTCCAATAGAAGAATCATTGCAGCAGAGAATTAAATGACAAGTTATAGATTGGAATTTCAATTGAAATTTTTTTTAATCATAAATATATTATTTTCTATAAACGTATTGCATTTTTATTCTTATTATTATAGATTGAAGAAAGAGAAAAATTTTATATTTGAATTTTTTTATAATAAAAATTGATATTCAATAGTATATTACATGATAGTTTATTTTTTCAGCTTTGAATAATAAAAATATTCTCGTACATTTCTAATTATCTTTACGGATGAAAATTTCTCTAAGATTCTTTCATAATAAGCTGAACATTAGACAGACATTTTAAATCTTTTATTTACATGGTGAATTAATTAAATGATTAATGAGCCTTATGACATGACTCATGATTAATGGAAAAATTTCCCTTTTATTACTTAAAACGGAAGAATATAAATTATTATTTTTGTTGTTAATCAGAAGAAAAATATATTTTTAATTAGCAAAAAGAACTTAGCTTACATACATAATTAAAAGAAAATTAATTAAAAAAAAAAAAATTCATCTTATGAAAGCTACCAATAAAATGATAAATATATTGAAAACGTTTACATTAATATCTATTGGTTTCTACTTGCTGTCATAAATTGTATTTTTGTTCATATAAATCTATAAACAGAGTCTAGAAAAAGACAAAATTTTCTCGTGTTTTTTTTTTTTCTTCGGTATATAATAAACTATTTATAGAATACTAAAGAAGAAATTTACAAGACTATTACTTTAAGATGAGAGCAACAAGTTATTTTTTATGTAAAATCAACCCGTTAAATATTCAATTAACTCTTACCACTTGACATATTAGTTATCTTTTATATATTTTTTATAACTACAACAATTTTCTTTGCTAAAAAAAATCTTGGATTATCAACAATAAAAATAATATCAATTCAGATATAAAAGAAATAGATTATCATTTTTAAATCATGTCAAATAAAACATTGTTTCTATAATTATTATCCTTCTTCCTAGCATAAATTAATTTGTTATTTATTTATTTTTTTTATTTTAACTCGTTTTTATCAGTCACGAAGGCGTACACGCTTACATGACACAGTTTTGTCAAACGTGTGCAAGCCCTTTTTTTCGCGCCAGCCGATGACTCTTGGGGTCAACACTCGTAGTCATGACAACGAATCACCCTAACTCATCATAGTATCGCTATCCCTAATGCCTTTTTTCTCTCAAATTCTTCTTGGAAAAATGGATGATCTACTAAGGTCACATCTCAAGTTCAAAAACATATAAAGGTCATTTCTAAATCCCCAAACTTGTTAAACATCGTTAGCACATTTAACTAATTATTTTTTCCTAATGCTACTGAATCTAGAATCGGTTATCCAAGTCAACAAATGAAGTAAAACAAAATTGACTTGCATAAAAATAATAAATGATATTCAATACAAGTAAATTTTGACCCCTATAGATATAATGCGAATTACATGTTCAGAATAATCATAAAATAAAATTATTCACGCGTGGCCTTGTGATCCAAGGTCATGCTGTTTATATCAATGTCAGTCACGAGGTCACGTTCTGTGGAATATCAATGAGGATTTTTTTCTTAAGCAATTATTGATTAATTAAATATTTAATTGTTTATGTTTGTTTAACTATTTATTAGGATATTGTGTATTTAATTTTAACGTCATAAGGTCACTACTTCTTTCGGAAAAATTTACTTAAATTCTTGGTAAACAATCAACGTAATTTATAGTATTAAAAATCATTAAAATTCAGTCATTTACAAGTGCCTTGTTTCCTCTAATAACTGACTACTTCCGGGTATCGCCTTTGATATCTCCCTTGTATCGTAAATTAAATGTAGTGACAATAAAAATGTGCATGAAGCACACCGAACATTCAAGGTTATCTAATGTAATTATTGCGGAGAATAACACTTGATCAATTTATAAATAATTTAATAAAAATTAAATAATAAAAAAAAGTATAATGTAATCACAATAAAAGTTTATTTGCACTGTAGAAAATTGCGAAAGGTTTCATTAACGATTACATCAATAGTTGTATTTTTAAATTAAATTGAATAACAATAATAATTGAATATTTTTAATGATAATAGTAATAAGAATTATTACATAAGGATTATTTTAAAACGACTGTCGATTACGGTAATATTTAGATTTCATTGAGAAATTATCCTCGAACAATTATCAAATATTTACATTTGACTCACGTGAAGGCATTGAAGATATTAAATATGAATTTCTGTCTGGTCTATAATGAGTTTATGTGCTGATATAGAAGAACTTATTGTGGTCTATAAATTAACTAGTCATTCACTGTCTTATTTACAGGTTTATACTAGAAGTATTCGAGGTATTAGAGGATATATAGAAGCTTATGTGACTGCATTTGACAAACATTGGAATCTCGCTCTTGAAGACTGCCTTGAAACATGGACTCGTAAAGTCAAAAGGAAAGCTCCGGCATTAGGTAAAAAAATTATTGATAATAAATATTTTTTTTAAAGTCACTCGATTAACGGTAAACAGTAAATAGATGATAAATTATAACTTTCAATAAGTTTCTAAGTAATTATTATATTACTCAGGATAAAAAATTAATAAATAATCAACTTGACGGATCAAGACTAATCGATTAAATTTTTTTTTAAAAATAAAATAAAAAATCAATTTTAATTATTTTTAAAGTTCAATAGTGTCTCTTTAAATTGGCAAAAAAAAAATTTTTTTCTTTAAACAGAGTTCTTTTCTAAATGTTTGACAAATAGTGAGTGATGTTTATTTATTACCTCGTTTATTCTGACCAAATGTGTATACATAAACACACAAAACAGTGAGACGAGTCGGCAAAATATCTAGCGACTCAAAAATAAACTGACCTTGAAATCGTAGTTAGAAAGATACTCGATATAAATCGCCACAAATCCACCAATTACGTCGGCAAAGATAATAACAAAAAGTCCAAATAAAATAAATATATACACGTAATAAGCACCTTGCGTCGTGTATGTAACAACAAAAAAACCGAAATGTATCTGAATGCGAAGAGGAAAGTGAAAGAAGAATGAAAAAGAGAATTAGAACGCGAGACATATAAGAGAGGGTAAAAAATGCGAGGACACGTGGGCTTCGGATCGAACGTGGCATACGTGTAGTCAAGGCCGGTCTTTGCTCCAAACTTCGAGCTTTGACCTTTTATAGGTGTCTCAAATTATTATATCACACCCTTGTCCATTCCCCATCCCTATCATGATGATTATTATTTTTTTCTTCAGTCAACATGACTTTTTGTGAATGATAATCGACAAATAACGAGTTGTGTGAGAATAATACAATTATTTTACAGCATAATTTTTACCCTGGTAACACAAGGGGTGATTTTTTACCCTTTGTAAACAGGAAGGGAAATGTCCTACTGACGTACTTTGGATCTATCACCTTATATAGCTACAAAAAAAAGGTCGCGAGGTCATTGATACGACAGAGTTTGGGGTTGGCTCTAGAGCCAACGACCTTGAGGCAAGAGAAAAGGATCGATTGGTGCTCGTACACGTGTCTTACCACTTGGTCTTTTAGCCCTATATACAACATTAAACCTCTCAAGGCTATTTCCCTATCTTTTTTCATCCTCTAGTGAATCCACCCCGCGTTGTCTTTTACATTGTACGCGAGTAACTTTTTGCTGTGTCAATGAACTGATAAAGTCTCTATCATTATTTTTATTATTAGAAGGACGTACCATTTTTTATTTCTTCTTACACGTATACATCAAATTATCTGGATTATTGTCGACTGTTTTATTGGAGCATTTACATGAAATTGCTTTCTCTTTTATTTATCTACAGGAACTGCTGAAAAATTAGAAATGATCGAAGAGAACGTGCCCAAGATGATTGTAAAGAAGTCTAACGGAAAGACTGAGACCTTGGAGAGACACGTGCCACAAATGATGCTGAGGGGAGAGCAGGTAGTTATCATTATCAAAATGAATTAGATCGTCAATCAAAAGTGTACAATATTATTTGTTAATTATAATAATATTATGTTAGAGTCTACTTTTATTATTTTTTTTTTTTTTCCTAATAAGTTTACAAAATCAAATGAATTCATTTTTTTTTAATATTATTATTGTTATCAATATCTAGCTTGATATAAAATACATGTATGACATTTTATGAATAATTAATTTGTTAATAAAATTATCATTCAAGCTGTGATTATTTTTAAATAATTTTTTTTTCTCGATTTAATTCTCAAGTATTAATAATTGTCGAAGTAGTTTAAAATATCAAATGATAATTCCGTTACATTTATAGTACAAGCCAACGAGCAGTTTCAAAAAGGGCTCATCATGCATGTAAGGTACATGTAAAGCTCTTTTCGATATTGTTCATCCAAGTATGATGTATTATCATACTTGAATAAATAGAACCAACACATTTAGTTACTGTTAAGATAATAATCATGTAAAGTATCATCATGTAGATAAAGTATAAATTTTTTAAAATAAATTATTCTTTAGTTTTATAAACTAATTTTATTTTCATAGTATGATGTATTATCTATCATTATAATTGTAATTATCTGTAATGGCTCATTGCAATTAGTCAGAGAGTAGTATAATCGATTTAATTTTTTTCATGTTTTGTTCCACGAGCCCACTTCTCGTAATTTTATCAGAGTTAATTTAATTTTACTCAAATCACAGGAAAAAGAAATTACATCACCGCCATCTTTTTATACTCAATGATATAAAATTATCAAACTTTGTAGAAAAAATTGCTACAAAATAACAAAACATAATAATGTTAGCACAAAGAAAACAATAAAAATCAAAAAATACTGGAAATGAAATAAAAAAGTTATAATTCAATTTTAAACAGAAAAGAAAATAATAAAAGTTTTCAAACTTCATAAGAAATTGCTTCATTATTATTATTAAGATAAAATTCAGTAGAAATTTATAAACTACACCATTATGACAGTTTTTTGTGTATAAAACAAAGTTTCTTCACTGTCAAGCAATTATTGCAAGTGGATTACTTGAAATGAGTGATATGAAACATAATATAATTAAAATTTAAATTTAGTGTAAGGACAGCAAATGATGAGATTCTGGTGAAAGTAGTGGATAAAGAAAAAGACCATGAGGGTGATTCTGATGATCGGTGGGGTCTTGTCAGGGCCAGACATACAGTTCGAGGGCCTCTCACTTTCGCTCTCCTACTCCAGAGAAAGTCTAGCTTCGTTTCTTGTCTTCTTCCTTATGTTGTACCTCTCCATATCTCGCTTACTTTCAAATTGAGAGAGTAAGTACACGATTATTCGTTGCAAAGTTAAGTTGTGCAGTTGCGCACCCATGGCTCTATACTTAGTGCCAACGTTGAGAGGTTAATGCACTCTTCAAGTCATAAGTAACTGTTGAGAGTTTAGTTCATTCTATATATTAATCGTCAGATAATAGGTCTCTAATGAAAAAATGAATTTTTCATTATTTGTCAGACCTTAAGTGACTCGATTAAACTCTTTAGATGACCATGAAGCGATTGGATAGCTACGCAATAATTCGATGTACACGCAATTATATGCGCGAGCACGCTTCTATATACACTGCAGCAGGCAATACATGCGCGGTAGTCAGGGCCAACCGGCCAGCACCTTGGAGGAGTAATAACGATGGTAGTAAGACCTCGCTGGCACTCAGAGATCTTCGTCGATGACTCGAAATCCATCGGAAAAGGTCGCAGATAATAGACGACCACCAAGAGAAAATTTTATCTTTCGTTGTTTCAAAATTATCGATGACTCCATTACAAATTAACATTTATTTTTAACATAACATCGTTGTTGATGCAGAAAACTCACATTAGATTACTTGATAAAAAAAAGACATTTTTTTGAATTTTAATGAATTATTGTTTCTCGAGAATTAATGATCATGAATTATGCTGAAAACACCGTTTTTCTATGCAAATATAACAAAGGTATCAACACAATTATAGAAAGCGACTACTTCTATCAATACCCAAGAATTATTAAATAAATATATCAATATATTGCCCGATAATTGATACAAATATATGCTATTTCATTTTTTTGATAAACAAATTTTTTTTCATCACAGAAAATTGTTCTGATGGTAATTAAAGTCAATGGGATGTTTATTTTATTAATAACTAGAAGATAATTATTCTTTTATTGATAATATAATGGTATTAATAATATATTATTAGTTTATTAATAGCTGCAAAGTAAATAAAGTTTTTTTTCATCACGATAATTGTAATTAATCAATTTTTCGTTTTATTTAAAAAATTAAATATTTCTTCAATGAATAAACAAACTTTTCCTATTGAATATCTTTCTTTTAGAAAAGAAATCATCATCTAATGAAATCAAATTGATAATAAATCAAAAATATCTCGACAAAAGTTGACGTTTATGGTGTTTTTTACGTTTAAATACCCAAATTTCTGTGTAATGAAATTTTATGGTTTAGCCAAAGTTTCCTATGTAGAAGTAATCTTGGAAAAAATCACCTCAACTCCGGAACAAATTACGATTCGTATATTTGACTAAGGCATTGAAAATAACCACTTGAATGTCCCTGACGAGTAGAAATGTTTAGTTTGCTACGAATAGTATGTTTAATTGCATTACCTAGACACTGTACAGATACAACAATTTTTTGTTCATCTCCTAAGATAAAATAATATATATGATTGAGTCATAAGTTGTAACCTTTCAAAGAAACTATGGAACCTTGGCACGTCATTTCAACAAAGATTTAAAAAATTTCCCTAAGGCTCTAAATCACAAATATGTGAACATACGGTTATTTCATTGATACGAGAGGAAAATCAAAGTATAAATAAACAGTAAAGAGTTTAAAATGTAGAGTGTTTAACATTGGTACTGTGTGGCCTTCCGACGATCGCTTAGCCTTCCGCAATTGCGCGGTAAATGACGTTATATAGAGTCGTGTGCCATAGTAAGCCAACCTTCACTCGTTTAGTAGCTTATCTTTCGAGTATTTGTCAAATAAATTTTTTAAAAAATAGATAGTCATAATTTTTCTATCATTTTTCGAGACTTGATAACGTTGTAAACACTAGAAATAACTACTTTTAAAAATAGAAAAAATTGTTTTTTCATGAATGAACGTGTTTTAAATAATGTTATAGTGGAAAGCATTTGTTGATTTATTGGGGAAACATTTTTATCAATGAAATTCTCTCAGCATGTGATGTTTTAATAATAAAATAAAATTTGGAAAAGAATTTATTTTTACACAAAAGAATTTTCTCACTTATTTTCGAATTAATTTTCTGAGAAAATAAAATATTTTTTATTTCAACAAAAACATGACATAAAATATAAATAAATTTACAAACACGAAACATTAAGTTGTGAAATTTAAAAAACTCAACAATTAATTCAGATCAGTAAAAGAAATGCGTTAAAAATTTAAATTTTTCGGAGTATATTTATAGCAATCACGTTCGTTACGCACATATCTAGATGCGGCATTCAAATGAAACCGACGAAACGATACATTTTTGTTGTAAATAGGAAGCGTTAAAAAAGTTACAATAGTAATAATATTATTTATCAATTCCTGTGTTGAAGGAACTTTGCTTACTTTTAAGCATCACACTGAGAATTACTGATGAAGTGTAACTAATTTAAATTACGATTTTGTGGGTCTCCTCAAGGTTCCTAAATATGCCTTATACCTCTGTAAATTACGTCATGATTGACTAAGAGCACGAGCCCTAGCGGAGGTTACGTTGAAGGCCGGTTATAATTGAGATGATGGAGATTTTGGTAGAAAGAAGCACATGAGATAGTAGAGAAAATCACCAATTTAAGAGGGGATAAAGAAGGATACTACGTAGGTCTCTTGTTTGCCCAACGAGAGCGTGAGTCAAGGTCTCGTCCCAATTTGGGTTCGAAGACCCACTGGACCAGAGGATAGGTCACACATCCAACCAACTAAAATGAAACACATGTTGTAGTTCTCTTTGTATATACTACTTTTATACTCGCGCGCAAAGACTTTAAGGTCAATTACTTTTACTGCGCATTCGGCTGAATTCAAGGATGAATATTTTTTTTTTTTTTGCTCTTTTTCGTTCCTTGAAGAGGCATTGAGGGTGATGCTAAAAGAGCAGGAGTCGTAGCGGCTCGTTGACACATGAATGTGCTATGGAAATATTATGTATTCTATAGTTTATTAGACCCTTATTATGTTGTTGTAGAAGGTTGTATTTGTTGATTGTACGGTCAGGACGCATCGTAATACTAAACCCACAATCTTTGGCCCTCAGTTTTTGGGTGACGTCAAGGTCAAATGTTGCCTAGAGAATATAGTTTTTGCAGAGAGAAAACTCGAGTCAAAGATACATTCAGAGACTGAACAACGCGAAAGAAGTTGGAAGATATGTTAGATAGATTTTATTCTACACTAGAGTCAAGAGATAGAAAGCACGTGAAGGCTGGACTAGAATTGTTGTTTGATAAAAAAAAAGAGTCGAATAATTATAAATAAAAATAACTAACTATTGTTCGTTGCTATTTTCTGATTCACTTTGTCATTAATCATTTATCTAATAATTCGAATAGAATAACTTTCAAGGTTTATCTCCTAATCACAAACTAAAATAATTCATTATAGTCTAACGTATAATTAGCAAACTTCAATTTTACTATCGTTATTAATTTGATTATTATTAATGAATAGTTCAATAAGTTAAGAAGAAAGTTTTTGGAGTTAATTGAATCTACAGAGTGTTTGGTATTAAAATATAAATAATTGATGACACATGAGTGAATTCAATAAGCTAATGAATCAAGATACAAGAGATTACAATAGAAAGATAACTTTAAAAATTTATAATTCATGAAAGCATGCATTTAAAAAGTAGTATTAATAATAATAAATTTATTACAAATTTTGTAGTTAAACTTGAAATAAAATTATGATTAAAATACATATAAATTAGTTGTGTTAATATTTTCTAAATGACGTAAGTATTGATTCATTTATTAATTGAAAAGATATTTTTATATGAAAAAAAATTTTTTACAAGGCTCACTGCTAGAACTCCACTTTTATACGATAATTGGCATCTAAACAGCAGCCTTGACAATTTAAAATCAAATACTCTTGGCACCAATGCAGTTTTATTTATTTTCCGATAAAATCACAGTGAATTAGAGTAAGAAAACAATTGAATAAATCAGTCATTTAAAATTTAAAGAAAAAAATAAGAATAAAGCTTACCACGATTAACCGAAAATGAAGAATGATAATGATAATTATTAAGTAAGAAACACACTAAAGTTTGAATTAAAACACGTTGACCGTTCAGGTTCACCAACAACTGTGTACTAATCTTATGCTTCCACTGTCAGCACTTGCATTTGTCCCACACTGGTATAACTAAATTTTGTTTTACTTTTCCAAGCATAAACAATTGATGAAATTCACAAGGTCAAAATTGGAGCAATATACAAAATATTTAGAAAACCGTTGTTTCAATTATGGATCTTTGTGATGGATATATTTGTATAACACGTCTTGCTACATATACATATAACGATGGAAGAGAGGGCACTGTTTACGTCACACAAGATTCAAATTAAGGAAACGATGGTATATTTTCTCAGTCAGATCGGCAGATGTTGACAGTAATTAATGAAAAATTCCAACCACCAGGAATTTGTAACAATCAACATTAGCATAAATACAAAATAATTAAATACCAAACATAAAAAAAAAGAAAATAACAATTCGTTGAAATTCACAATAAAAACATTTTTACGACACTCAACAATTATCCATCAGCATCATCATTAACATCATCATCACAAACAAAAAATCTACTTGATCGAAGCAAGTATAAAAAGAGTCACTTAATGAATTAACGTGGGTTGAATTTGATAAAAAAAAAGTCCCGAAAAAATTCGTACCAATTTTTTTAGGAGCGAATATATAGAGTGGTGCAATGAGCAGTTCACTCGAAGAAGGAACACTGAACGCAGTCGACGCGGCAACTCGGAGTTTGCCTAGCCTAGCCACTGCTAAACACCACTATCCTAGGTTAGATACTCGCGACACCGTCCTCTTTCCCTCTCTGTTCGCCTCGCCCTCGTGGTTCTACTAGTGTGCTTGCGGCCTCCGTCTCACTCCTTTACTTCGTATAACTCTCTCACTCATTCGTCCTCCCTCCGCCACCACCTCCTAGACGGTATATACAGTGCACACGTCGCATGGATTCGGTGCGAGAATGAGAGGGGAATCGTAAGGCCATAGCCACGGCCACCGAGTCGAGCTCACGCGCGCTCTCACACGCAAAGTCAAGTGAGATAGTTTTACATATTCACGCCACTAAGAGACAGAGATCGACTAACTAAACCAAGTGAATACGATGTGTTGTCTAGTGACAAAGTCAAGACACTTTTTGCTGCACTCTTTTAATTGTCTTATTCTATTTTGTTTTTAATTATTCCCTCGCTCTTTCTCTCTTTATTAATTATTAAATCAACAACTAATGCTTCAATTATTATTATCAATATTCATACTGTCAATCTTAATATTTTAATCCATGTGCGGAGAATAATAATAAGAACAAAAAAAAATGGCTATGCTAAACACTTTTTAACCTTTTATAAAATTATCTTCAAAAATAACTCTATTACGTCGCTCGAAAGCCCGATAAAATGTAATTGAAATGACATTTTCAACAGAGAAAAAAAAAATTTATTTTATTGATGGTAATTTTGTCGTCATTTCAATGATTTATTATTCATATACAGATTTACAGTATGAAAACCGCAAGCCATTGTATTGCATAAATTTTTTCTTATATAGTTATGTTGAATAGTATTTTTTATGAAAAACGTTTTGTTGATATTACTATCATTATCATTATTATTACTTTTATTTTTACACACTAATAATAATGCTAATAATTTGAAATCTTTGCTATTATTCATGTAATTCTATTCCAAGTCGTAGTAATATTTTTTTTAAGAAATTAAATCTTCTTTAGCTGATTAGAAATTCATTCGATTTTATTGTTATTTAAAACCATTCTTAATATTATTAGTTTATATTTTTTTCAGCTATTACTCATATATTTTAAAATATTACATTTACACATTTTTATCTTCATCATTGACTAACGATTGGAATAATTATTATCGTAAGAATAATTTATTTGATATCCACACTTTAGTAACTTGACATGTATTAAAACACGTTTAATTATTAAATATACATCATTATAATAAAATTTTATCTCTTTAAATTTATTAATATTATTTTTTTTCTGTCTAAAATTAATTAAAATATTTTTGTATTTTAGATAAATATTGAAATAAACAATTCTCCAACTCTATTTCTAAAAGGTTTATGTAATTTATTAATTTTCCTAATTCATTTTCACGGATTTTCATTACTACATCATCTTTCATTTAAGAAAAAAAAAAAAAAAAATAAGTGTGATTAAAATAAATTTGATTTAATTTTCAACATTTTTCATAAACAACTATCATTTCAATACCACGATGCAAGTAATTTTGGTTTCTTGAATGTAATTTAATATAACATAAATTTAGTTTAGATATTATATTTAAATTTAATGAATGTGCCAACAAGGTAAATGCACACGGAAATATAATTAAACGTCGGGGTCTGCGCAGTTGCAATGAATGATTCTCTACTTTCTAACGAAAGTGTAAGTATTTTCCGCGCGGGTCTGCGTAACCGTCCAAAGCGTTGACGAGACTTTCCCGCGCTGCTTTTCCATGATTTCCCAAACGAGACTGATTCGATAACTATCTTTTTATACTTCCGTTTTTTTTTCCTCTAATCTTTAATTCCTATTTTAATTTTAATGATTCAGTGTACTGTTTTAAATTGAATCGCAGATAAATTACTCTCTCCTTCATAGTATTCATTGCAAAGCAAATTTCTTTTTCTGCCATGATATCTTTGCAATTTTTTTTCTTTTATTAAATGTTACAGACCTTCACTCATCCATGGACCAAAACGAAATTCCTAATATTTTATTTTGACGGCCACGGACTTGCCCGCGGCACAGATAGTCAAGGTTCAGCCAATGACTTGCCATGACATATAAATCGGGGGGTCTATCTATTATCTTTACAATGTATCCACTGAACTTGCAGCATGAGTCTCAAGGCGAATTAAATCTATTAAATTACTGAATTATTAAATGACCATGGAAGAGGATGCGATTTATACACGCATGAAAATTACTTCACACTTCAACTGACCTCAACTAATTAAATTTTTATTGATGCATAATGATGTAATAAAATTTATTGCTTTTCAGCTAACAACTCAGATGGCCTTTTTTCTATTCCGACATTTGGATGCTTTAATAGAATACACACACCGCGAAATCAAGCTATTTAGGACGGATGAAACTAATTAGAACAGAGAAAGAATTCTTTCTGATACTCTTCTCTGACTCTTCTAGAGAATTCAATTATTACATTAGAACGCTTACATAATAGTTTCATTTTTTTTTTAAATCAAATGAATTTAAAAGCAACATTGTTTCATGTAATTTGTTTTCAAGGACTCTTATCTGTGTTATCAATTTTTTAAAAAAATATTGTAGACTATTTTGGAGTTGTTGAAGAATTTCCAACAATTGTAATTATCTTTCATGACAATACTTTTTTTTTCATAATTGATGTTAATTTATGATTACTACTCTTAAATCAATTATCAAATTCGACGAATAAAAAAAATGATAAATATAATATCAATTGCTTGATGGGATAATGAGATACTTTACCAGGAACGAATTTTAAAACTTGAATGAAATTAATTGAGGTGATAAAAAAAATGAATAAACCAAGTTTATTGCTGAATTCAATTCTTTACTCTAAAACAGTTATTTTTGAGCAAGAAAAGGAAACTTAAGTATAAATTGCATTACAATTACTTGGAAATAATGTAGTTGATGATCTGAATGGATTAGGTAGGCTTATTAAAGGAAAATAATCAAAATCTATAACATTGTGAGAATTAATGAAATAATAAAGATCTACTAACAACCCAATTCCATAAAGTTTCATTATTAAAGTAAAGGAATTTAATCTCATAACTTTTTGATTAAAAGGAAGAAGAATTTAATCTTGTACTTCTTTCATTACAAACATAATTTGAATGTCAGCAAATTGAAAAAAAAAAAAATATCCAATCTGCTTATTAACTTTCATCCATTGTATCGAGTACAATAAACTGATAGAAAAAAATTGAATAAAATTTTTTCTATGAACAACTAAAAGCAAGCTCTGGTCCAATGTTAACGTCCTGATAGTGGGCCAGTGTCAGTCATCGACTCTTTCGCGAATGAATTAAAAGCGAGGAGGAAACTGAGAAAACTGATGAGCAGAATGACTAACTGTCAGTATAGATAGTTAACTTGAGTGAGGTTGTTGGCCAATATTTGGGCCAATGTTACTAGTCAATTGCTTCATGTTTTCGTACTCATAAATAATTTTAATCATCATTTACGTTAATGTTACATTGGCTCTACATGTCATCACGACAGATAAAACACACATTGTAGCTTCATTAATGTTCAATATGTTTATTCCCATTTTTACGTAGCAATTTTTTTTTGTTGAGCAAACGCGTGTTAGCAGTTAATCAAGCTTGTTGCTCTTTCTCGTAGACTTTATATATCCAAGAAATATAATGCTAGAGCGATTGCTCTTAATGTCCGTGCCTGGTGACCCGTGTGGTGCAAGCTAAACCCACTGGAGAAAGTTGCCAAGACTTTCACGCTGTCTCTGTGCACGGTCGATGCAATCGCTCAAATCATTTTATATATCGACGTGTGAATGCATCTAAATAATGGAGGCATGATTATCATCATTATCATTATCACCGTCATTATCATTACCATCACCATTAAAGCAAAGGGTTAAATTGATCGGACATTTAAAAAAAAAGCTTGATAAAATTAATATCAATCGTTAGAGACTGAAAAACTAGTTTTTAACTTAATTAAAATGATAATTAAGGGTGAATAAAAAATGTGAGAAGAAAATGAAGATTTTTTTGCCGGATGGGAGATGAAGGGAGTGAGTATCGATGTGGTATTTTCGATGTCCGCCCCTTGGGGATGCAGCCAACCGTGACGTGCATCTCTGAGCAGCATGCTTGTGACGTCACTTATTTGATGACGTGTGGTCAACTGCGGTCAATGCACCAGAGTCTCTCTCGGGCGCGTTTCTTTCTTGCGGGGCATATACGAGCCATATAGCCGGCCGTTCTTCGAGTTGTTTCACCAGAAAGCTAAGCCGCAACGCGGACAGATAACACACATGTACACATCGCGAGAAAAAAATTTGGATTTTTTTTTATCTAGCGAAAACCAAAGTCGTATGGTTCAGTAGTAGCTTTAGACGAGGGACAAAATAAGAAAAAGAAGTTGAAGAAGAAGATGAAGAATATCATAAATAGTTTCCGATTGTGATATTTATAATTATCTCGACATCAGCTTCTGTCTTAGTATCTTGTACCCCGTAGCTGACTCCTAATACACGACGTTGGAAGTCTGGGTAATCGGCACAATCTATTCTAAGCGACGGCAAAATTGTACCACCTAGGAAGAGAGTACGAATAAGGAGAATATATCGACGGAATTATCGATTTTCATACACCGAGAGAAAAGCTTAGTTACGCTCGATAAATATGTTTATTTACTATATTTGAAATGTTGCAATCAACTCCGTTTTTCGTAATGGCTTATTACTTTTTTTTTCCAACTTTACACTTAAATAAATCTAATGAATCGATTAATTTGAATAATATTGTTATGTACTACAAAAATTATTGCTTTTAACTTTTAAATTAATTTTGATCATTTTATCAATAATTTGTTCGCAAGATTTTCGCAATTGGGATAAAACTAGATGAGGTAGCTATATCAGAGTAGTTGGGGAAAAATTACTCATCCATTTAATTTAGATGGAGTAGTTAAATCAAATGAATGGGACGTTTTGACCTATTTTCTTAATTTACAGAAACGAAATTCAATCGTCTATTTGATTTTAAAAATATTTCTAATTTAAAATTATGTTTCATTATGACAAAAAATTGTTTGCAAAAGATTAGTTAATTTTTTGTAATAAATTTTTGAACTCTTCCGAGCATATATTTAATTTTTAACGATTTCGCTCAACATGAGTTTATTGGCTACCTCTATAAGTACTTTTTGCCCAAGATGTAAAAACAGACGACTAAAAAGACGATTTCTAGCAGGTGTAATTGGAGTTTTTTTGGAACAAGCATATATATATTTAGTGATTTAACTCATAGTGAACCAACGATGGTCAGTGTATGTATATAGCCATACTATTATGCTTTGCGAGCGAGCATTCGATCGTTTCTTACGTAACGGTCTCTTCGAGAAGTTCTCATCCAGAATATTCTTGCCACCAAAAGACTCTGTTGCTGTTTCTGAGGATTCTTCCACGTGCACGATGCTTATCTCCAACGTACATAAACATTCACATTTATTTTCACGGAAATTTACTGCACTGCTGGAGAGATTCTTGTTCATTTTATAACATATTAGCGCGACTCATACTCCCATCAAAAACATTATTAGATTTTTTTTTAGCATTATATTGCTAGAGTGAAAATCTATATAATAGCTGATGTAATAGTGCAAAAAATTTGATTACAAAATATTGGGTTAAAAGAAGACATTCTAGAATGATTAATTAACAGAATAAGTGACTTTCGGAAAAGTAATGGAGCCATTAAAATGATGATAATGACGAGTAAATAGATACGGGCTATGTAGCAACGGCCACTGTGGACAAGTTAAAGCACAAGCTGAGTTGAGAGGCGCGGACGGGCGGTCAGAGACCCCGCAGAGCCGGTGCAAACAGTACAGCATTACCCACTCGACCAAGCTCTATCTTAACCTGGACCCAACAATATACTAAATAATGCCTCGTGGATGCGGCTCTACTTTGTGTCGACTTTGTGGTTTTTTTAAAGCCACTCAATTGAATCTTTGTTTATGTCAATAGCTGATGATAAATTACCGCAATTACGCCGAAAACTAACCTGGCTATAATAAGAAAAAAATATGATAAAATACCTTTCAAGAGAGATCACTGATGTATTCCTTATTTTATTTCGATTACTACAATTGCAGATATTTAGCAAATAATCTCCAACTTGAATAAAAAAGTATTCTATTAGAAGTTCTAAATGAATTCATCAAATCACAATCACCACGTGTTTTTATGATGTTTCCCAAAAATAATTTAACATATAGAACACTGGAAAAATGAGCAATCTCCAACGTGTGTATAAAGTGTGATACAAAAATAAAACAGCAGCACTGGAAATAAATGGGAACTCCGGTAGGTCGAACGACACGTGGTCGCGGCGACACTTTAGCCTTGCCGATCCACGCGTATCGTGTACTTGTTAACGTGCGTCTGAAGACCGGAGAGCACGATGAGTGAGTTCTGGCTAAGTTCGTTCTGCGCCTTTTCCTACTGTCCGTCTTGTTCCTTGCATGAGCGCCGTCCCGCTTGCGCACCTTTTCCTCTCTTGCTCCTTTACTCTTTCCCCGACCTTCTTTCTCGCGTGCGCACCCATCTCTCTGCTTCTTATCTTTCTTTTCTTTCTCTCTCTATCGTACATCTCTACTCATTCTTTCATCTGCTTTCATTTCTTTCGTCTAATTCATTTTACTATAAGCGCCGCTTTCCCCCTTCTACCTAACTCATATCAACACAACACTCGCCCCCTTCTATCATTTTACAATCCACCCCCACACACACTTTCGAAAATCGCTCTCGCTATTTCCCTGATTCGCAATCCTCTTCTCTTGTGGCTGCTGCTTCTTCTCCCTATTGCCCACCAATTGCAACCTGACTTTAAACTTCACGCTCAAACGTTGCACTCTTTATTTTTTCTGCCAACCCTGCCCATTTATTATCTTCTATGCTGTAACTTTTTTTTTGAGGCAGGTTAGGACTTAAACAGCATTAAACTTTCGGGCAGTTTCGTAATTGCCTGGACCGCAGGTTTAGAGTGAAAGGGGACTCATTCAGGAGAAAGATTTAAATTCTATTGTGATTCAAATCATCACTAGCTAATGTATGATAATACATGGCTAAATAAAAGGTGAAAACTTGCACATCTTAAAGGAATATATTTTTGGTCAATTTTGTTTATGCAACTTTTTATTAAATTTGTGAATTTTTAGCTGATTTAAATACGATGACGTCAGAGGCGAAGGCCTTTCGCAGAGGACAACGTTATATGTATGAAAGAGGTGGGATTGCTTTTGCCTGAGCATAGCCGTTCGTTCACCCTAGCGGGGGCACCAACCTGGCTTTACTTCAGTTACTCGCTGAAAGAGTCGACGCGCTCTATAGGTACATACTTTCACACACCTAAAGTATAGGTGAAAATCTATGAAGAATCCTATAAGAGTATCCTAATCAAATGTTCGGAGCATTTAACCCTTTGCTCAAAGTCAAGCCATGAAACTAACCAAACTAATAATTAAATAGAAAACATTTACTTTCCATTAAAGAATCCTACACTCGCTTCTAGTACTTTTCCAACATAATAATTTGACAAAAATAAAAGAAAATATCCATTAAAACCATTATCGATCCAACTACTATTGTTAAAATAAAAGAAAAAAACGATCCATGAAACTTCACATACGATATTATCAATAATTATGCTTGAAAGCAAAAATAACTTGAAATTTACGGACGTTTACTCAGGGGGCTTAAATACATCATTTAACGGTCAAAAATCGATTGACCTTGAAAACCCGAATATTTGCTCACTGAGACATCCTTGAAATTACTTAAAAGACGTGATAATGCAATTCAATATTTAATTCATCATGATTTGTATTAAAATTGCTAATTATTTGAAGTAAAAAATGACTTACCAATAGTGGATGAAATTATTTGTAGCTATTAGAAAAAAATTTCATACAGGAGTACGAACAGGATCACAAAGGATAAAAATTCTCATCTGGATTCATATGAGGAAATTGTCGAAATTCACGGATTTGACAATACGTCAACATTCTAGAGTTATTCACCATTCATCTAACGTATTAAATAAAAAAATTTTATTTTCATAACTTGGAAATAAATAAATATATGTATATACGTGAACATAATTCTTGCCTTGAACTATTTTCAAATTATAAAGAAAATAGTGGAGATAATAGATCTTGTTAAGGATATCGAGGAGTATGAGTGACCATTCGGATAGATACCGGATCAGTAGGAGTATCAGTTGGACTAGATCTTTGTTGTTGTTGTGTATAACTCACTTCCATGTCAATTTCATCAAATTCTTCTTCTTCCTCTTCATGAGTATCAGATTCTTCTTCCTCCTCACCTTCTTCCTCTTCCTCTTCGTCATCTTCTTCCTCTGAACCTCTAAACTACAAAACAAACAAATAATTAAATGGTAATTTATACTAATCAACTCCATAAAATTAGTCTGAATACAATCTAATAAATAAAAGAGGTTATCTTACATCACTAGCTGATTTTCCTATAGGTATTTGATCACTACTAATTGTTCGATATCTATCTTTCTGCAATAAAAAATCATTTTTATCAAGAATTCAATGAAAAATGTACATGCATTCATCTATGACAACATTCATATACAAACCCAAATTTGACTTTGGGCCTCCAATTTTTCTACTTCTTCTTCATCATCACAAGGTTTATCAGCATTAAACCATAATGGATCCGTTGCTCGAGGTTGTAAATTTGGCCATAAAGGTCGAAACGCCATAATAATACTTTTTATTTCGTTAAAAATTGTTGTTTGATTATGTTTTGACGAGCGTTACAGATTTGCGTTATTTTTTCATGAAGAATCACAAACAATATGGCGTCATTTTCAATTTTGTTTTTGATCAACAGCGCCATTTGAATATAATTATTGTTGACTTGTATCTTATGTTGGTAAACTGTTGGCTTTTTCTGCATTACCGACATAAAATAATGATTTTTGAATTGACTTTTAGAGCCATCTGATGAATTTAATTAAAAATACACTTTAAGAAAAATTTCTCAAGTAAAGCGGAGGTTAATTCATTAAAACTTCACAGTAGTTTGTTCATATTGACTCCGGCTGAGTTTCTTTTTACGATTGCTCTGTACTGTTCTTCCCGATGGTTTTTATATTACGCGGGCAACGATCCCCAGTTCTTTTCTCAAGCAGAAAGTTGTTCTAGTTTTGTACAGTCACTCCCTTTCGTTGCTCCGAAACATTTGTGAAAAAATTTAACTTTTTCTTGAATACTTCCAATGAACACTAAGAAAAATAGTAGATAATAAAGAATATAAATAAATTAGTGTTTGTGTTATTACTTTGATCATTAACGGGTAAGCTTAATTTATTCCTATCATTGACATTCATTTAAATTGACCTTATCACGAAGACAACGAATTGTTTGATATGTTTTAATTAAACTAAAAGTTTGTTCTTGCTTATCTTTATTCATTTTCACAGCTGTTTTGTTTCAATCATGTTTTTATTGCTTTCTTTTAGTTTTTTCTTATCGATACTGATAACTTTATCACTTCAATCAAATCCAAATAATTATTATGTGATATAAAATTTGTAGTTAGTCACAAACATTGCAACGTAATGACACATATCCATCACACTTTCTACTTAACGTTCTACGAGAAAGGTATAAAATATCCTTGAACTCACTTTCAAGAAAGATTACTTCTCACGAACTGCAAATTCCACATTCTTTTCTCCTATCCTATTTAACTATCGAACCCTAATGAAATGCGTTTATTGATCCAATTGAAATTAATAAAATCAAGCTGGAGAAAAATAAATTTAAAAAAATAAATTTGTTTGATGATGTAACATGCATTACAATCACCAAATACCATTTCAGTTCCTACTTTTATTACTTATTGATTAAAATTTTCTATCAACTATTTTTAATATATTTCAGAATGTTATTAAAAAATTCCAAGACCTTCATCGACTCAATAATAATATCCGTCTTTCACAGAGAATGTTAGATTGCATCATAAATTTGTTGAGTTTATTCTAAGTCAAAAGTTTTTTTCCACTATCTATTCTGTTTTTATATTTGTTGTCTGCGGTTTCTCATCAAGATTAGAATGTCCTATTTTGATAATAAATAACACGCAGTCAACACTTTATAGTAAGATATTTATTTTATATTTCTGTTGTCATATCTATTCCCGAGATCCTTTTGTAATGATTTCATTAAATTATTATGTTACTGAATTTGCACGTGCTAGTAAAAAATATACGATAAGGAGTTAGAAAACCAAGGTTAAATATTTTATCATATTTTCCTTATTTACTCCAATGTATATTTGCAATTTATTTTTTAGATATGGCTCACGATCATTCAGCGCACATGGAAATGAACATGTCTGATCATAGCGCTCACGATCATTCAATGCATCATGGTATGGACCATTCGAATATGCACCAGGAAGCCATAGACCACTCCGGTATGCATCATGCTGACGTAGATCATTCTACAATGCATCATGGAAATATGGCCCACACAATGATTGTAATTATCGTGTTTAATAATTTATTCATAATTATAATAAGATATTGTTGGTTTTTAAATAAAATATTTTTTTTCAGATGTATTTTCATTCTGGTTGTTCTGAAACAATTTTATTCAAACAATGGCAAATTTCTTCAGTTGGTGGATTAATTGGCTCAATGATTGGAATTATTATAATGGCTGCCTTATATGAGGGGTTAAAATACTATAGAGAATATCTATTTTGGAAAACATATAACGCTTTACAGTACAGAAGTGTTTCGATGCCTCAAGATAAAAATGTCGTTGCTGAAGACAATCGGGTGGTGCAGTAAGTACTGGCATTCACTTACATTTATTAACATAGTATTAATTCTAATTATTACCATAAGTTTAATGTTATATTTATAATCTTATAGTATGGTCGGTGAAGTAATCCACAAGCAACCGTGAGTAAAAAATTAATCTTAACGTTTCTTTCCAGAAGTTTTCCTGCATGAACTCGTATATTTCTTTTCTTGCATCCTTACTTACAGACTGTAGTTTATTGCATGTCAGAGAAAGATAATTACTTGATTAGTCACGATAATTATATAATCAATTAAATATTTAATTAAAATTCTTATAATTTTTATGTTGCAGACCGACAATGTTATCATGGATGCATACTTTTCAAACATTTTTACATATCGTCCAAATTGTTTTGTCGTACTTCCTCATGTTAATCTTCATGACATACAACGTATGGCTCTGCTTTGCCGTAGTGCTCGGTGCAGCAATAGGATACTTCTTGTTTGGATGGAAGAAATCCGTAATAGTAGACGTTACGGAACACTGTCATTAATAAATATGCTATAGGCTACAATATCGCACATAGATTGAATTATCATTCGTTGGGTAATGATAATATTACGCCAATATGAAACAAACAGAAAGATAAAATTTTTATTCTGTAATAAAAACGTATTTTTACGTTCCCATTTTTGCCTGACTGTAAAGCGTGAAAAATTCATCTGAAAATATATTTTTCAAGTGAAACATAATATCTTAAAATAAGAAAAAATCTTTTTCAACAGTATTTTACTATATGTTATGCATCGCAACGCATGATTCATTTGAATAAGCTATAAAAGGTGTTTATAAGAATGAGGGTTTGAATCTTCTACAATTTGTAATAATTGTGATGTTTTACTTGTAAATATTGTTGAAACGTTGCGAGTTAGTATAAATATATACAATAGTTAAATGTAGAAATGATGAATTATGATGGATTTTAATATATAAATAAATTATTTTTTACATCGTACATTTGTACGAATTTTTGAAAAAAATTTAATAAAAAGACGTTTTAGTTAATTATAAACAAGCACAGTGTAACTTTATTTTTAAAATCAATTCTATTATATAAAATTTTTTAAGGCGCAATAATTTAAAGTATCATCATTATATTAAATGTTATTAATTATTAATATTATAAATATTATTATCATCAGTATCATTGTAATGAGAATTTTTTATTAATATTATCAATACATCATTTATTAAAAAAGATGTTGGCGTTTGATAAACATTTTAGGATTATAATTGTTACAATATAAAAACATGACACATCATGATATTTTTCCGAAAATATTGATAATTTTTATGAATTATTACTATTGATTTTAATATTGATATGATTTATTTTGCGCTTTATGTATTTAATATTTTTTTTTTAATAACAGTATAAATTTTTAAAAGCACCGATAAATAACAATTAAACACAATCAAAATATTTATTAAATTATTTGTACCCGCGACAAAGGTGCATGACTTTCACTTATACACATATCTTAAAATTAAACAGTACGAAAAGTTACAGTAAAGCAGAAGATAAGAACAAACAATTAGAAGCCAATTTAGCATACTATTTAATGTTATTTGATTATCACAAGCTGATGGACTTTCTAATACTGCAAATTATTATATAATGGAATTAATTAATATTAAATCACGATACATATAATCAATAATAATGAGTGATGCGTTGAGTCAATAGTGCTTGATTATTCTTATAAACAGTTAATTGTAATGCCACTAACGTTTTATAGTAGAAGCATGCAGTTCCTTCAAATAACTTTGTTACACCTAAAAAAAAAGCTGCTGATAAGAAGTGCAGTACTTTCATTTAAAATTTAAATGAAAAACATTAATATAATGTGCATTGAAAACTACATCATATTTAAAGCATTAGATATTACATTTACAATTATTATTATCGTAATCTCTACGATCAGAAAAATAACATCAATTAATAGAATTCATTAAAAACTTTGGTTTAAATTACAAAAAATAATACAATTGATCTAAATATTCATCTCTCCACCGTTAATTATTCATAATTACTCGATATAATAGTAAAAATTTTGTTTACATGCAATTATCTGAAATTATACAACTGATAAAATTTAATTCCGATGCTAGACACCTACTCAGTACTAGTCATAGGCATACAACAACTCGAACGATGAGGCGAGTGTTGTTTAGAGAGATCCACAGTATCCTCAACTAATGGACGTTCTAATCTAGCTTCTAACTTTGCCCAAGTGGCTACTGCTGCACCAAAAGCTGCTTCCACATTAGTGGCAGTCTTTGCAGACGTTTCTACTAGCGGTGGATTACCATTTTCTGCGCACCAAGCACGCGCTTCTTCTGTTGAAATTTCTTTTTCTACTTCTGGCACATCAACCTGACAATTCAATGAAAAAGTAAGTAAAATATTTCAATTAAATAATATAAGTAGAATATTCAAATGAATCCATACAATAATCAATGATATTTTCTTAATAAAATTAACTTCTAAGTTTATATTTTGACGATAATAAGTCATTAAAAACTGATATTAAATTATAATGACTCATTTATCAATTCAATATTTAGCTGTACTATTTATCTCATGAAAATAATTAACTTTAATACAGTCGATAAAAATATTGATTATTTGGATTATCTGATTTTTCCACATTATTGATAGATTATTAGATGAAATATTACGTACTTTATTACCAACAACAATAAATGGGAACAAAGAGCCTTCTTGCACATCAGCGTAATATAAAAATTCCGATCTCCAAAGAGCCAAGTTTCTAAAACTAGTTCTATCGTCAACTGCATATGTAAGTAAACAAATATCAGAACCTCTGTAAAATGGAGTTCTCAAAGTTTTAAATCGTTCTTGACCAGCAGTATCCCATATTTGTAGAGTATAAGCTTCTCCATTTATTTCAATATCTTTATTCAAAAATTCTACTCCAATTGTGTGAAAACTGTGCTCATCAAAATGATTCGATACAAATCTATTCATAAGACAAGATTTTCCAACACCTCCATCGCCCAAAATGACTACTTTCAGTAATGTAGACTTTTGTGAAGTTCTATTTGGTATTGTTGCATTGACAAGTGTAGCAGCTGAATTATTGGCAGACATAGTTAGGATTTCTTATTCTTTCTCTCATTAAACAGTGTAATAATAAAATAATTTTTTCAATTTAATAGCTACACTACTCAATAATCACTTTGTCATTAACTTGATAATTTTCTACGATGTTTCATTATTGGTACACTAGAAATGATCAACAATACGCTACTCAATCATAATATCGCTTTTTTGTAGATATTAATAACAAAAACGATTATCATTCTTTGTTTAATGTTTCATAAAAAGAAAAACATTACTCATATTACATTTATCATGGATACAAAGAACTGAAAAATCCTTCATGTACGGTAGCATCGATGTAATAAAATGTTACTTTAAAATGTCGATGTTGATATTACGTTGGCAAAATATTCAATAAATATAAGACGATGATAATACTGAAGAATATTTCGATTTTTTATACAGTCAGTTTATACATTTTGAATAATTGATAATCTTTTATAAATTTTTCATCTTTTTCCACTTGACAGTCAATTTTATATCTTTTTAATTTATTAGATAATTGTAAAGAAAATTTTTATTTCTTTTAATCTATTAGTAATATTAATTAATTCTTATTTATTTGTAGAAAAATAATCTTTTGACACATCACTGACAGTCTACTATTTAGAACGAGGAACGCCCATGCTGTTCACTTCAATGCAACTTGACATTGGTGACATAGGTATAGTTGAATTGGCCAAAGAAGTGCTGTCCCCACGCCGTCCAATTCCTAGTGGGGATACATGATTCATACAACATTTGAGAGAGAGAGGGGATAGCGTCATTCTGGTTATCTCGACTATACCAAAATTTTGCAAATGCATTTCTGATGTGTTTTGTTATCGACGTCGTAAGAAAAACAAGTTCTGTTTACAGAAAACCATCTTATCAATAATTAGACTCATGTAGTGTATTCATTAAAATTTATGTAAAGTGTTTAAAAAAAACATAAATATTTGTTTTTAGCACAATACAAGTGCCAAATAATTCTCTTTGAAATTTTTCACACGACATAACCTCCAACTGTAGGTATAAAATTTATTTTTGCTGTGAATTTGTATTTATTAATCTAATTTTTATAAACAAATTTATTATAATAACTTTGATTTCAGAGTCACTTCCTTTTTTATAATATAATTTAATTAAAAATGGCTAATTTACCAAATACTGGCACTGGTGAGCAATCATTGTGGAATCCACCAGTGCTCCAAAATCAAGATATGGGATTTTATTCTGTTCCTCCACCTCCTCCGCCAACAACATCGTATCCGCCACAAAATGTTATTTATCCTCCACCTTCGTTTAATATTCCACCACCTCCCATAGTCAATAATCCACTTACCTATCAACCTAATTCTCAGTATGTTGACTCACAGTATTCCTCTTATTCTGTTGATAATACTAACTCATATAATTCCTATCCCTATCAAGATTACAACCTAGCATCCACCAGTTGCAGTTCATACATTCCAGAAAATCATAATTCTCAATGGACAAATAAAAATTCCTATGAGTACAACGATAAAAACCAGTGGAATAAAGCTCCTGATTATTCTAATTGGAATTCAAATTCAAATTGGAAAGCAATTCATCCTCCAAGACAAGATTCTTCTACAAATTCTTATAATGATTCCAAAAGACCTTTTCATTATACCGATCGAAAATCTGATTGGCAAAATAATGATAAAAAGTCTTCCCATTGGAATACAGACAAATCCGATCGGCCCTATCGTAACAGATCACGAAATAGGGATTATAAAGATCATCATAATGATTATAGCAGAGATAACAGTAGAGAAAAAAGTAGCATTGATTATCATGACGATTCAGAGAAAAAAATAAGAAAAGATTCAACTAATAGAAGGAGCCCTAGTAGAGATAGTCGATATTTATCTTCAAGATCTAGTAGGAAAAGATCTAAGTCGCCAGATTCTCAATCACAATCCTCAAGATCAACGAAGCCTAAAAAAGAAATGACTGAAAGAGAAATGATTCTTGAAAAATATCGGTGAGTTTAGAATTAAATGTTCATTATTGTAATTTTGCTTAAAGTATTTTTTATTTGATATCAACTTTTATTGTTATTAATTTCAGGCGTAATTATTGTGCCACAAGTAAAGACATCGAACGCAAGATAGATGAATTAGGACCGGACGGAATCTTAGAATGTGATAAAAAAGTTTGGACACGAACTGCCCCAGCTGATTTGTATTATTCTCGAGATGATAATAATCCTAAAATTATGAAAGGTACAAGTAAATTGCATGAATTGTGCGATAATTTTAAACATTATCTTTTGGATAGAGCAAAAATAGCACGTTCTATTCAACCACCCTATGAGCCACCACCAAGAAAAACAAAAGCTCGATTATGTCGTCATAAATCTGAGGCTTGCAGTTCTTCTTCTGATAGTGATAGTTCACTGGACGATGATGATCGTACAATGGAAGAATTAATGGCAAAGAAACAACATCCTCAAAGGCTTCATCCTGAAATGTGGTTTAATGATCACGGAGAAATGAATGATGGCCCTCTTTGTCGTTGCAGTGCCAAATCCAGACGTTCTGGTATTAGACATGGAATTTATGCTGGAGAAGGAATAATTAATCGGTGTGAATTAAACTCAAATAATGCTGATAAGTTGTATCACTACAGGATTACTATAAGTCCACCAACCAACTTTCTGACTAAAACTCCAACAATCATTAAACATGACGAACACGAATTTATCTTTGAAGGATTTTCAATGCTATCACACTTTCCACTTGTGAAACTGCCTACTTGTAAAGTCATTAGATTTAATATTGAATATACGATTCTGTATATCGAAGAAAAACTGCCGGAAAATTTTACAATACGAGAACTAGACTACTTTCAAGAATATTTATTTAAGGAAATTTTGGAATTAGTGGATTTTGATTTACATTCAGCTCAAGATAAATCAGGCTGCGGCCAATTTCATTTTATGCCACGTTTTGTTCGAGATTTGCCTGACAAAGGACAAGAAATTTTATCGATGAATGAAGTATTAAATTATCTTATTAAAAGTAGTACTCTGTTAATAAATCCTGAAGATCTTGATCGATTAATTGCAATGCCACAATATGAGTGGCAAAATTTCGCAGATGAAGTTAAAGGAATGGTTGTAACTTACCCAGGAAAAAAACCATGCAGTGTTAGAGTTGATCAATTGGACAGAACTCAAGGAGACCAACCTCCAGGCGTTACTGCCTATCCTGAAATAGTTCATTTTGGAATTCGACCTCCACAACTCAGTTATGCTGGTAATGCTGATTATCAGAAAGCTTGGAGAGATTATGTCAAGTTTCGACATTTATTGGCAAATATGCCAAAGCCATCATTTGAAGATAAGAGAAAATTGGAAGCAAAAGAAAATAGACTTCAAGAGCTGAGAACTCAGAGTAAAATGAAACGAGATGTCACAGTAGATGTAAGCTCTGAAGGATTCTTTCGTACGGGTATAATGTGTGATATTGTTCAACATGCGATGTTGATTCCAGTCCTTGTCTGTCATTTAAGATTCCATAAATCACTAGATAATCTTGAAGAAACGCTTAAATATAAATTTAAAAATCGATATTTATTGCAATTAGCTTTAACTCATCCTAGTTATCGCGAAAACTTTGGTACAAATCCTGATCATGCTCGTAATTCGTTAACTAATTGCGGAATTAGCCAACCTGAATATGGAGATCGAAGAATTCATTACATGAATACAAGAAAAAGAGGAATCAATACTTTGATAAATATAATGTCAAGATTTGGAGCGAGAAGGGAAACAGAGTCGTCAATAGCCCACAATGAACGTCTGGAATTTCTTGGAGATGCAGTAGTTGAATTTCTCACTTCAATTCATCTGTTTCACATGTTTCCTGATCTTGAAGAAGGAGGCTTGGCTACTTATAGAGCAGCTATTGTACAAAATCAACATCTTGCTGTTTTAGCAAAAAAATTAAATTTAGAACAGTATATGTTGTATGCTCACGGCAGCGATTTATGTCATGATCTCGAACTAAGGCACGCTATGGCTAACTGCTTTGAAGCTTTAATGGGATCTCTTTTTTTAGATGGAGGAGTTACAGTAGCTGATAGAGTATTTGGGGAAACATTATTTAAAGATGAAGAAAATCTTGCTTTGGTATGGGTTAATTATCCAAAGCATCCTCTTCAAGAGCAAGAACCAACTGGTGATAGACAGTGGATTCCAAGTTTTGAGTTATTACAGAAATTAACCAAATTTGAGGAGTCTATAGGTATTGAATTTATGCACATCAGATTATTGGCAAGAGCATTTACTGATCGCAGTATTGGATACACTAATTTAACGTTGGGCTCTAATCAACGTTTAGAATTTCTTGGAGATACAGTTTTACAATTGATTGTATCAGAATACCTTTATAAATTTTTCCCAGAGCATCACGAAGGACATTTATCACTGCTACGCAGTTCATTAGTAAATAATAAAACCCAAGCTGTTGTCTGTGATGATTTAGGAATGACTCAGTATGCTCTGTATGGTAATCCTAAAGCAGAACTTAAAACCAAAGACAGAGCTGATTTACTTGAAGCATTCCTTGGTGCTTTATATGTTGATAAAGGTTTAGAATTTTGCAAAGTTTTCTGTAATGTTTGCTTCTTCCCACGACTTCAGAGTTTTATCATGAATCAAGATTGGAACGATCCTAAGAGTAAATTGCAACAATGTTGTCTAACTTTGAGGACGATGGATGGTGGAGAGCCTGATATTCCTGTCTACAAAGTTATCGAATGCAAAGGACCCACTAATACTCGGGTGTATACTGTTGCGGTATATTTCCAAGGAAAACGATTAGCTAAAGCATCAGGTCACAGTATTCAAGAAGCTGAAATGAATGCTGCTAAAGAAGCTTTAGAAAAATCTCAAGATCTATTCCCTCAATTAGATCATCAAAAGAGAGTTATAGCTAAAAGTATGAAAATGCAGCAATGGCCAAGGATCAAAGGAACCATGTCAGAGAAATCAGATGATTCAGATTCGACCCAACAGCTGAGAAAAAGAAACAGAAGAAATAAAAGAAGGTGGAGAAGAAGTCGAAGTCGTGATAGAGATTCTGATGATAGTTTTAAACAGTACAAAAGTAGATCACGCAGGCGTCGAAGTAGGAGTGATGATCGAAGTAGAAGTAATGATAGAAATAAAAGCAACGATCGGAGCGGTAGCTATGACCGAAGTGATCGGAGCAGGAGCAATGATCGAAGTAGAAGTAGTAGTAATGATAATGATTATGTCAATCAAAAAAATAAAGATGGGTATTAAGAAAAATAGATTCAAGTAAATATGTATAGTATTTAGTATTAATATAAAGTTAAAAACTGTACATAATTATACAATAAAATAATTTAAATACATTAAACGTTTCCATAAATTTCTACATCTGTATCGACTTCCGAACCATCATCTGCCAAAAATTGTTTCAAAATTGGATCTTCTGGCATAAACAATTCTTTTCGTTCTTGCATAATTTTTTTTATCATATACATATTATCAATAATAGGTTGTACTGACCAATTTCGTTTCAATAATGCATGTTCAATATTAAATATCCCTATTTGAAAACATTGAAGCAAAGAGCATGTCGCATTAGTTCGTACTGCCAGCCCTAGATTCTGTACTAGTTGCTTAAGAGCTAATTCAGATGTATTTAGACAAACAATTTCTGAAAAAAAATTAATGAATAAGATTATCTATTACAAGCTAAAAATTAATTAAAAAATTTATGTTTTTTCATTTTTGAAAATTATAAATTTTTTACCCAAAGTAAATTCAGGAGGATTAAAATCAATGCATTTAAGATTGTATATTAATGGAATTTCTTTTTGTGTCGGCCGAATTAAACCTTGAACTGCTAATTCATAAGCTGCTTGAGACTGAATATCAACACCACAAGCTCTATAAAAAAATATTGATTAAATAATGTAGAACAATGATCCAAAATAAATTGAAAACTTACTCAAACATAGATTTTTGGTAAGATGATTGTAAAGTAGCACATATTTTATCGATGTGATGTCTTTTAATATGGTGGTAATTTGCTTTTTCTATAATTCTTCCATCGACAAAATTATTATCTGTTGCTTTACCTAAAATGCCTTTAACTTTGAAATATGAAATTGGTTTGATGTTTCGCAAACGATGAGCAGCAGCAGTACCGTTATTGATACCAATAATAGTAACTCCTGACATTTTTCCCGATAAGAGATTAACCGGTAACATTCTGATATCTGATGGTTGATATCGAGGACCAACAACCAATTCATGATCAGCATAACTTGGTTCAACAGTCACTGACAGTTCTTTGTTTGTTTCACCATGAATATGAACATATGGTTCAGGTGGTCGTTTATCAAGTTCATTTAAATCTAAGAAAATATTACTTGCTTTTCATACATCAAAATATTTTATAAAATTTTGGTTGGAATAAAAGTGATTCAAAAAACTAACCTGTACATAAATGAAGCTTTAATTGATTCAGAAGCACATTTGTCCATATTCCTTGAGGTTTATATATTGCTACTAATCCATTTAATGCATTCCATACTTTTGGAGCTTGTGTAGTAGTTTTATAAACTGAACTTGGTGGTACAATTATTGTAGACATGATACTTGTTTGGAACCTTCAAAACGTTTGCATGCTGTTTGCAATATGTTTAGATCACAGCGCTACGTATACATAACAGTCAGCTTTTGTACTTGGCACTTCGTGTATCTTACATTTAATTTTATGTAATTGGTATCTCTTAATCTTGATAAAGACCATTTTGAATAAAACTTGGTATTTATTTTGTATTAAAATTTTTTTTTTTTATAAAATTATTTTATTTGGTAACAAAAATATTATTTTCTTAACAAACTATGAAGTAATGCAGCCTTTTCATCTACAATAAATTTTTGAATCAATTTCTCTATTGGATCTACTGAATCTCGAGCAGCTTGATGTCTCATAGCTTGTCTTACTTCTTCTCGAACACCTTTGTCTGTACCTCTGGTTGTTATACGACGTTTCTGAAGAACTTCAGAACCGATAGCAATATCTAAAGAAATTCCACCACCATGCTCAGTCCATAGATACGTCAATTCTTCTAGTATATCAATATTAATTATGTATGTTAGAAATAAAGGATATTGAAATGTTTTGTTAGCTTTAATAGCTTCAATAATTGATATGAAAAGATTTGCCTCTTGAGGCCAATCAATTTGCATAAGAACAAGAGAATTGCCTATCGTCCAATCTCCAGGATCACTGATAAAATGTATTTTAGTCTGAAAAATATTAAAGGTGAAATGTTAAAAACAAATAAAATTTTTTTTTATTTTAATCATACTTACTTTCATTCCTGCTAACAATAATTTGCAGCAAAATTGTAGAACAGGTAATTCTTCAATTGGTAAATAGTGTACATGTCTAATAGCAGGTACGGAAAGTTTCGTTGATACTTTACCACGTACTTGAAAACGTGACTCTGCTATCTTGACAATATTTTCTAACATGGCCTGAAAATGTCATCCGTATTAAAATTAAATATAAACCATTAAAGTTATCTTACTATTCCAATACTTACCGCATAATCTTTAAGAAAAAAGTATGTACTAGCTAGTCGCAGATGTATTGCTATTGATTTAATAGTTACTTGTGAAAATCTCGTCAATACATCATGTAGCTGACCTTTGTATATCGCTACATCATTTAGAAATGGATTTATCCAAGTTTCTAAATGCATTTGTTGACTAAGTTTAGCTATTTCTCTTTTCATCAATTCAGTTCTGTTTAAAATATCCCATAACATTACTGCAGAAATTAATCCTTGACCATCGTAGTCGTCGTCACTTGTTAAAACTATTCCTGAATTATCTTCTCTTTTTCGTTTTTTTATTTTTGTCTCTGTAGTTGAATATGGTTCTGCGAATGCCTCGACAAGACAATATTCAGTATTGTCATGATTAATTTTCGATAAATGTCCACTTAAAATTCTTATTAAAACAACAATTGTGCAAATTGTCAATTGTTTGACCATTGCTTCGTCATTCAAATTACTGGTATGATTTGTACTGAATTGTTGTAACCTGTCACAGTAAGCTTCTTGATTCCAAGGCGTTGAAAAAAGTTCACCTAATTCCCAACTGAGTTTAGCTCCCATAACTTCCATTACTTTGAATAATTTGTCCCATGGTTGTTGGATTTGATTACCCCCGTAGTCCAGTTGAATATCATAGTCTGGGATTGTAGTTTGTTGAATATAAACCAAATAAAATTCGACTGCTTTACAGAGCAATCGAAGGCTAAGTCTAGCATTTAATTCAACTGGAGCTTCACCTAATAAAGGTAAAGCATCACAAGCTAATAGACGTCGAAAATCATTTACAGCTTCCCATGGATGGCTATGTTTTTCTGCAGTCAGCAATGTTTCTACTAATCTTGGCTAATAAAGTTAAACAATATTATTATTAAAAAAAAATAAAACTATGTTTATAAACAAATAACTAGATAATTATTTACTCCATGTGTAGCTATCGTTTGTGGAAACCGCCTGAGTAACAATAATAATAATTTACAGTGCTCCATTGTATCTTCACTATGATCAGCAGTCATAATAAGTAATCTATGTTGTAGTTCTTGAGGAATATGTTGAAACATTTGGCACAATAATTCACATTCTGGATCTGATTTTTCTGATCTCAAACATGCAGTAATAGATTCAATTTCTTTCCAAATTTCTGCATTTTCGGGGAAATTCTGAAATCTGTTAAATTGCCAATGGATTTATGATTCAAATAAGTAGTTAGTAGCTAACATGATAAAACTTACATTTCACTGAAACATTTAGCTGCTTCCTTAACATTTTTTGATAGTTTTTCTATTCTATAAGCTTCGAACTGGAAAATAAAAGACACTTTAAGAATAAATTATATTTATTATGATGTTATTCTCCAGCTAGTTCTAACCTGTACTTTTACACTGTGTGGAAAAAGTGATTTTGCTGTTATTAACCATGATTTTGCGGCATAAATATCAGTAGACATGGCTTCTTTAGCCCTTAATAATAAATAATCTTCTTTAGATCCTTTTGTATCAGTTATATTATGATTTTCAAACATTTTTTTCCTATTTTAATTTTTTTACTGTTTACTAAACAAGAATTAAATGATAATTACAGGTCACTTTTGAATAGAATGAAATAATCTGCTGTTGATAAAGTATAAATTTTCACTTACCAGCATATGATAGACGTCGAAGTTTTTGATGAAGTCATAAAGATGTTGTTAGTATCGAAATTCAAAATATTCATCTTTTGTTAAATAAAAAACCTCAACAATCGTAACGGTTAAAAAAATTTATTGTATTTTTGTGAGTGAAAAAGATGATTGTCTTGATGAATATACGGAAAAAATTATTACGATCAATAGTAAATGTCTCGCAAATCCGGTGAATAATGTGGATAGTCTTGAAGTAGCTACATTTATAAAGATATAACCCTGAGCACTCAACGAGCGAAAGCTGCTTACTTTTTACGTTGAAAGCATTATTTCCGTTTGCCAGGGTGAGAGCTTTTAAGTGGTTATAGCAAACTTTAAATATAAACGTCATAAATATACTTTTTCCCTCTTTCATAACTCAAATTACTTTCTCTGTTCAGGTTATCCATTGCAATGGTAATACGTGCATAGCTATTTTATAAATTCCTAGATAATGTAATGATGATGTTTTGATAGTGGATTACACTGGGGAATGATTCTGCGACAACATCAAGAAAATTAGTTAGAAAAAAAAATGTTAATCTAATGTGAGTATCAGGTCATGAGAACTAGTAGAGAGTATATTCACAGTTAATGTTATTAAATAGAGTCTAGCATCGTAAGATAGCTTAGGTTGGTTAGTTAGCAAGCAAGTACACGTATCAAAGGCACTCAGAATCCGAGCTTAACAAAGCCAGGTCTGAGTTTACCAACCGTATCACGTAGTGCACGTAGTGTACCTTATCTGCTTATGCTCCGGTAAACCTAAATCACCCACCGACTTCTCTCTAAGTTTTGGCCTTGATATTCGTTAAGGGAATAGTCTCCTGAGCATCACAAATTTACCTTATACTTTTAAGATAATTTGAATATTTAATACTTATTATATTTACAAAAGGATTCGTGAGGTTAATAGAATGTTCATCTACTACTACAAAATATCACGTAAGCTATACCTATCTAAAGATCGCTAAAGATTGATAACATTGAACGGGTGGCATCGTATAAAATTTAAGCCAAATGTGCAACTAAGTACCTACTTAGATCCATTTGACACAGGGGATCAAGATTGCATTTGAATGGACGATTTTGTTGCAGGATTTACTGCTTGCAGATTGAGTTATTGTTCTGATTTCGACCACCTGACATCTCTCTTCACTTATCCCTTTCTTATTATTCTAATTTGCAATTTCAAAAAAAAGTTTATAATAACTTTTTTTTTTAATTGTTAATATAATTTAATCAAACGTTTTTATCGTTTCTATATTTAGATGAACATTAGAATGGTCATCGGCGTGTTAATTTGTCAAAGTATTGATGAAATATTGGAGAAAGTTTCGAAATAAGTGGACGTAGAGACCAAACCAATTGGTAATTCCATTATGGATGTGAAATCGAATTTGTCAATTAGACGTTCAATATTTACGGTTGGTTTACTGCGATCTGGTCTACACAATGGTCATCATCCTTCTCTCCTACTCATCTATGTATTTACTACGTGCGAATGCACGCGAGATGACAGCTGTACTAAGAGAGACTTGGCCGCAAGGCATTTGATTCTACATTATAATACATGAGCCTGGATCTAATTGAAACAGCTCACAAACCCATAGCGAATTGAGTTTTTCTACTGTTCATATGGTCCATGATGGTGACATCGCGAAATTATTGTTGCAAGGATGATCAAATTTTCTAAGCTATGAGAATTACAAAAAGATTAATCAATTTGAAAGCAGATCGTGTACCCGAAGATTTTAATGCCGATAATAAAAGAAGGGACATTTGAATATATACTTTGCAAATCGAATTAAAACAAAAGACTTTATTCACTCTTCTGTCAACGAAGAAATGGTCTACAGCAGCGATCTGGATGCTTTTGTCTATCTATTATTCGTGGATAAAGTTTCTTTGGGTCGTCGTAGTTAATCACTATAATTGATATTCCGCTGATATCACCTTGAAGAGTAATGTAGTAACCCGATAACGAGGTAGAGCTGTATAATACACCAGAGGGGCAATCTCTTATTGAAGCGTTCGCCAGCTCGTTTGTTTCAACTAATTGAATTATATTATTAGCTGAAGACAAGTCATTGAAACTTGGAAATTTTTCCTTTTTCCATGAAATATATACTTAACAATAAGACAATGTGAATCGCAAATTTTCTAAACAAATAATTGATGAGATAACATGATAAAATAGTCAGTCATTAGCAAACGATTATAAAATTATTAAAATTGGCTTTAATGGATTTTCAGCCCTCAAGTTTATAACCCCTCGACATCGAAATGACATACGAGTCTGCTGTCGCATTATTTGAATATATACTCATGGTCGCAGGAAACAGCATATCATCATAATGACTATCATCAACTGATGATCACTTAAACGTATGGAAAAGAGGAATTTTTGTTTTATTGTTAAAATAATGGGTATGTCGAGTTAATGTAGTTGATGAATATATGAAAGGAAATGGAAAATTCTAGTGGGAAATGAGGGAAAACGATGCGTAGGTATAATACTGTGTATAGTTGCAGTGATCCACGTCGTGATACAGTAGAGACATTCGTGCGGACTCGGTTTTACCGGTGATTCGATTAAATTAAAGTATCGTCAACTAACGAGCATGCATGACGGCAGCACGACATTAAACTGTCCGCAATATCCGCCATTTCGAAATAAGCCACCACTGGAAACAGAGTAAAAATAAAGGGAAATAGACAGAGTAAGAGATAAATGGAGATGAGCAAGAGAGAATAAAAAATTACAGCTGCATGCCATACAGAACTCAGGAAACGGCGTATTCTATTGTGCTTTTGTCATAGTTAAACTGTCAAGCTAATTCTCCCTCTTACTGTTGCTATTTACCTCAGAGATATTTGTTGAATCCATTGCTCATTATAATTTGTTATTGAACTTGCTATTTTGTAGCATTAAATAATTATCCAATATCTATACTAACGACTGATTGTTGGACATGTAGCGTGGAATATATAAATATCATACCACACCCAAAGTATGCCATGATCACTCGGTATAATCGCGTGAGTAACACAACTTTAGTATTCAATAATTGTTCTCATGAATTATCAACCACTCTGTTTAAAAATAACCAACGGTTTAAACGTCCACCAATCGATTCTAATTCATCATATACATATACAAAATAGCTCTTATATTTTATCTGTCAATGCTATCAGCATCATCAATAATGATTATCCATGAATTGTATTTTATTCCTCAGCAATGACAACTAGAACAGTAGACTTTAGTTTTAACAAAGTTATGTCTTCAAGGTGTTTTTCTTCGTAGCCATGAATAAAACATCTCAACATCAGCATCGGACAGAATTAAAGGGACTGATAATGAACATCTTTTATCTCTCAAGCTAGTCCATGGACAGATAATTGTCAATTCTACATTCTAAGTAGGTACTTGGGAACAATTCGTGGCTTAGATTGGACAATAAAAGCTTGAACGATATGATGACGGAGAGAGAGAGAATAGAGATGCAGTGGGGGTTTAGAGTGACAACAGAGTTTGCACGTCTTAAAGTCTAGTCTGCCTTCCAATCAGATCCGGTGAAGGCGACGCGCAGACGCGTGAAGATGAGAGTACGTTCACCCCCTTAAGAGAAAAGTTGGGGTGTGAAAGGAAGAGAGATAGATAGATGGAGAGGGAGAGAAAGAGCTTACAGAAATGGCAAGGCAATACCCGGGGTGTGAAAATCAACGTGGGAGGGACATGGTCGAGAGGGTGAGAAACCGAAACACGTATCCCCGCGGGGTCCAGCCTCAGCCTTGGATACGCAGAGGGGTTGCTACTATACACGGGTTGGCCTCGACGCAGTGATATTGCCGCCATTTTACAGCACCGTGAATCTGCATAACGATCAGAGACTGTCGTGTTTATCAAAGCTTTTCTCCGCCATCTGCATAATTTTCTGGCGCGAGAGAACATGCCCTGCTATGAAAGCATCATCATCTCTCTGTTCTTTTCCTCTTTCTTCTTCTCTTTTTTTTTATATTTGCATTATTTTTTATCAGAAGCACTTGAAACCTTTTTGACTGTCATCATCAACGAGAGCGCTTGTGGTGGTAATAACTCGTTTTGATTGACAACAAGATAGAGAAGAAATATTGATTGACCATCTTGAACATGGGCCAATTCCCAACGAGAGACCGTTGGAGGAGAAAAATATTTAGTGACAGGTCGAAGGGTGGTTCTGTTATTAGGGCTCTTATTAGCCTGGCATATGGACGAGAGGGACGAGTAGAGATAGTCATCTCTAACGCCCCAATTGCAAGATTATAATACAGTTATATACATACAAGTCTTGGATATCGAGGGATTTTGCAGAGGACACTACACCAGTAAGAATACTTAAACAATCTAAAATAGATTGATCTACTGATTATCAAGGTATATTCATAAATAATTTTCCTGCCTCTTGAAGATTTATTAAACTCAATCATCACATCAAAAAATTTATATCGACTACTATTTTATTAATTGCCTATAATAATTTATAAATATATATGTTTTTAGAACTGCAACAATTTGTCAAAGTTGGAGATCACCCAGGTGGAAAAGTAATAAGCAAGGGGTAATAATCGTTAAATTATAATGTTTAACGGTCGAATGAATGGCGAACGATGGATGTTGGGATGTTGCTGCATCGTTTCACGTGATTCGGGGATCTATCGAAAGCTGAGGGGAAGTGAAAAGAGAAAGAGAGAGAGAGAGAGAGAGAGATGGAGGCTCGATGCGCACGTTGACACTTTGATGCAGGATACCGCGTGTCTCGGGAAATTGCCCACTCAATAATTCAGTGAGCTCGGTAATGGAACTTGTCCGTGAGCACAATCTATCATATAGTAAATTGCACGAAGCTCTTTTATCGCGCTCACGAGAAACATACATATTAGAAAAATAGCAACGGCTTATCTTGTTGTCTCTCTCGTTTATTTCTCTTTTTTATCCTGAATCTCCTTTAATACTTGTTCACGGTGTATTCTGTAGACTTCTAAGAATTGATCAGGCCTTGAGAAATAAATTGTCCGCATATGCCCTATTGAGGTCAACATATATACCTAATAGATGTACGTATGTTATTCACATTGACAATACTCAGTATTTAAGTACTTTGTATGTATGAGAATCAATGATGCATGTCTACTGCAATCATAATCCGATAAAAAATGAAATCAAAGAGGGTAATGTTAGTTAATTAAACGTTTCTCTAGTCTCTTGCGTGAGATAATAGCATATTCTGTTTGTTCACTAACACCATTCAGACTCCTTCGTCACTAGTTCCATGGATAAAGCTCTCACGCAAGTGCTCCTCGGATGATGGCATTTGTGCTTTATACGTCAAAAGCAAAGCTCAGAGGCAATCATGAGCTTTCGAATGCAAAACAGCAGCTTTCCACGGCACTCGCGACACTTTTACATTTAAATGTAAACTCGTAGAGTGGCGCAGCGTCAGGAGCAACGAGTGAGATAGAATCATGTACCGACGACGAAGCTCAGAGGCAGAGGCGTTGGGATTTAATATTTTACACCTCAAATGTTGGGTGTACGCGAGAAATGCAAAGTAGTTCTCTTTTAGCTTGGATTGGATTTAAAACGCGCTAATTTGTCGACGCTACGAGCCCACGTACGACACCCTCTTTTTAGTAGAGTGTGAGTAGTTTAAATGTATGGATATATTTTCAACACCCATATACATACTCTGGACATTTCACCCACCAACGTTGCATCTAAATTTAAAATCTGTTTTGCATAATGCTAAAGCTAGTCGAGGAACCGGGACCGCCTAATTGTGGCTCGTTGAAGCCTCCGACCCTCTGAAAGAGATCCCCAATATTTTTACTCGTTTCTCTTTTTTTCTATTACACTCAATTAATATACTACGCCACTTCTCTCGGTTTATTTCTCCACCTTTTATACTCATTCCGAGACTTTTATGCCAGACAAAACTGAATCAGGAAATTCAATAGACTCTATTACTATCATCAGCAGTATGGGCAATTGACGATACATCGTTTCCTGAGTAGACGTTGAAATATACTGAGAATTTAATGCTATCTTGGTGTAGACCGTTACCCACATTTTCCCCAGAAAGTCCAACAAACTACATCATGGGCTGTACCATCATACTGCTATGTAAGTTTATGGCTAACCGTTGTATTCAATGTACTATTAAATACGACTATTGTGCCCATCGTTCATCGCCTTCACAAATTTACTTCCGTAGGTCCATTTCCCTCAGTCGCGGAAAAAGGCTAGCACGTGTCGTCAAAATCCCCAAACAAATTCAAAAGCAATATTCTCTCCCTACTTTTCAACATTCTATCAGAGTTTTATTGCTTGATCGAAGAAAAAATAAATGGATACAAGTGTAGGCTATAGGTCAAGTAATAAATTTCACTGTAAACATTTTCAATTTTTTTCAAATAAATTTCAATGCTAAAATGAGGCAAATTTTCAATCTTGGCAAATGATATGGACGCCCGGGATGTTACTGAAGACCAGACGATTTTTTTTTATCTCAAGAATTAATTGATTTTTAGCAAAGATGAGGTTGTATTTATTTATATTCAGACATGGGGATGCTTTAGAAGTAAGTATTACTGGCAGTCTTGCAGCAATAACCCCAACAAGGGTTTTATGTGCATTGGACAGTCACAAGGGTGAGGTTTGCCCTCTCAGTTTCTCCGCTTCCCACAACAATACCTAGACAATGACTCTACCGACATTACGAATTAGGTTCGGTTACGCGTTTATTGCGGATTCCGGTTGGGAGTTAAAGGCATCGGCTCGTATTTTCGTAGCGTGTTTTCTGTATACAAACTAAACTCACCCCTGGACACATCGACGCCAATGCGGAGATACGAAGTATTAGCATTGGTTAGCTTTATGGACCGTTCAGTTCCGTTCAAGTATCGCGGATCAATAAAGACCGTTCGTTTGAAAGTTCTTGGCCAAAAGTCAAAGTCATTCTTTTGCTTGAAATCTTAATGCATGTTTAATGTGTATATTACTAAGATTTACTGTAATGAAAACGTGTCAAGTGTTTTTATTTCTCTTAAGTAATTACTTTTTTTCTTACATTTCAGATTGATTACATGATACCACCAGAGTATAATGGATACATAGTTTTGATTTACGAGACTTGATGAGGATTTTATACTGTGAGTAATTGATAAACTTTTTGGTCTTTACTACAACTTGAACATAGACACTAAGATGAGATACGAAAGAAAAAGAGGAAAGATGTTGAGGAAATGAAATTTAGTCTTGGTAGGTACTTCGTTCTCAGGCCACGAAAGAGCCAAGTTAGTTTTATTTTACAATCCATCGGTTCCCGCGACACGGAGGGTGGACTCTCAACAGGGTAGGGGATGTTACAAAAAGGAAACCAAAGGAGTGAGTGAGATAAAAAACCCCTTGCCAGCAAGCTGGAGAGGCTGGTTGTCAACTAGTGTTTTAAAAGTTTGCGACAGACTACAAATTGACTCGCTCAGTTCTTTTTAAAAGCACAACCAACCAACCGCGTAGCTTTCTCTATCTTTTTCTTCCACCCTCGATTCCACAATATGTACATCTATAGATTACATACTATCTAATATATCTATGTATAATATCACCAGACCAGTCTGCAAGCACGTGCAACTAAGCAGAGAGCTGAGAGTATCAAGCTATGAATTTTGACGATGTTCCAGTATGAAATAGTGATACTGATCGTTTCAATACGGATAATAATATTATGTATTGATAAGAGCTTGCAGACATGAATCAACAAGATGAATAAGGATAAACTGAGAGCAGATATTTTTTTTAAAAAATCTTTGACATATTTAAATACAAAAAAAAAAGTAAATGATTAACGTTTATGTTATTCACTGCTCTGTTTTATCGTTTATCAATGATACGTCTTAATCGGTTTATAATAAGATTGTGCGATAAGATAAGCCACATGTGGTTTTACATAGATTTCATTCGTTTGTAATTACATACATCCATAAAATATTATTCCCAACATTATTTTTTATTTGAGTTAATGTCGAGTTTTTTTGATAATAATTATTGGTGTGTAGATTTTTTATTTTATAGTCGCTGATAGTGTTGATGAGGTTAATGACGCAAGCTCAATGAGTTAAATAAAGTATTAGTGATGGCTTATGTAAGACTCATGTTGGAATGTTTGAAAATTAATCAAACAATCTCTTGATCTTGGAGAATGTAAAATATGTTTTTAAAAAAGTTTAAGAGTTTAAGAGTATTTTGACGTAAATAGTGGTCATTTCTCATATTTTATATGCTACTACGCTCGGCTGATCACGCACATTTGATACACGCTATTAGTCGTGTGTCCGCCTTGATTTATCGTGACTACTAGATTTTACTCAATTGTACATTCACTATCAACTACCTTTTATCGTGTATCATTTTCAGTTTTTCTATTTATATTAAAAAGAATACATTTGTCATCAGTCATCATTAATCAGTTCGTTAGAATTCATTTATTTCTTTTTTGTCACAATTTTTTGTTTGACATTAAATTAAATATTACGTTTAAATTAAAAGTTTTACTATAAGTTAAGATTAACTTTTGTTAAAATATCGTTTTTGATGTTAATTAATAACTTAGAGAGCCATTAATAGTTTCAAAGAATCTAGCATTTTGCACGAGCCTTCTTAATTTAATACTACTCAAAAAAATGTTTAGATTTTTTTTATCATAAATTATCAGGCTTATTTGATACCTCCGGTACTACTGGTTGGAAGAATGATTGATTTTGTGATAAATATGATGGAGTTTTAGGCACATTAGAATCTCTCGGAGGTTCTGTAATTATTGCACTTGGGTTTCCATTATTTAAAGATAATTCTGATTTTCTAATCCATTGTTCACGTGCTGAGAACACTATCAGCCAGAAATACATATTGGTAACTGAAAAAAAGAATTATTTTTAATCAAAATTTAAAATCCATTTGTTTAACGAATTTTAAAATTTAATATAATTGATAGAGTTAACAATATATTTATTTACTGAGGTAAATGCATGATAAAGGTGAACTCGCTTGTATTTGTGAAGTCTGATTACTGTTGATACTTGAAGATGTCAAGAAAATGATTACTGAGGTCATTTGATCTGCAATGCTAAATATCTGTACATACATCCATGGAAGTGCATGTTTAGATTTTTTCTAAAAATAGTAAAGTCTTATTATATATTTAACTAAATATAAATAGTGTCGAATAATAAATGGAATTTAAAATCGTAGTATTTACGTAAATAGTTCCAATTGCTAGCAATCCATTGACAGTTAGTAACAATGTAGCGTAGGAAAGTAAACAGATAAAAGTAACTTGAACTACAAAACAAAAAAATACATTAATATTATATCATTGATAAGTATGTTATGATAAATCATTATAAATAAAATACCTTCATTGGTAAGTTTTAAACTTTTAATACATCTAGTCCAGTTAAGTCCTATCAAGGTCCAGGATTTAATAGCAGTTAGAAATTCGTCGTCTTCAATTCTTACAAAATATTCACTCACAACTACATTGATCATCAGAATAGCAGTCGACTAAATGGAATAAAAATAAATAATGTATTAGATAACGATTAACTTTTGAAGATCTGTGTCATATTAAAAAATCATGAACACTATTAATGGTAATAGATTGACTTACCAATCCTAGTGCAGCAATAATCCTTGCTGCTATGGTTAAACTAATGCAACATAGAGTAGTCATAATTTGATAAACTTTTCAATTTATTAAACCACTTGCGTACGTTTAAATTATATTAATGCGTACAAACTGTTCACGAATGACAACGTTTATTCTATTCCGTGCGGCGGTTAGCGAGGACACTGCGTGATAATGATTCTAGCAAGAAATGTAAATACACATGGGTTACACACAAGTGTAATAATGGGTATAGCAATGTCGATGGTATTTGTATTATTGTAAAGACTCATATTTATTATTAGAAGCTTCTTCAAAATATTGATTCTTCTTTTAGCAGAAATCTCAAAATTATCAGTCTTGGAATGCAATCCTTGCAGTAGTTGTTTTTACGTTAATATTTTCACTGTCATAAAATGATAAAACATGTTTATGTTCATTTATAACCAACTTGCAGTTATGAACAGTAAGTTACAAATAAAATAATGGGATAAAATGATAAATTAATCATTATTTAAACACCCCATTATTGTCTTAAGATATTTCATCTTCAAATATAGAAGATTGAATGTCTAAAAATATTTTATAAATTAAATGTCTTGGTTTAAATATTTTTCAAAACAATGATTATCCAAGTCAACTTTAATTGTTGATATAAGTTGATAAATATTTTTGGAGCATAAACAATTAATGGAAACATCTAGTGCGTCGGTTAATTATCATGAAAAATCATTAAAAAGGTGTTTCAAATACGTTTCAATGTATTAACTAAATAAATAACACAATTACGATAGGCATATATGGGTTAATGACTCATTTTTTTAGAATTCGAATTTAATAAGCCGCGCGCATGACTTCAATCACGGCGCATGCGTTCAGTATTTGACTAGTGCGCATGCTTTGTAGTTATGACGCCGGTGCTCGATTAGTTCTCTCGTAGACACGTGTTTATTGTTTTTCTTTTAATTTTTTCTCATTATTACTACGTAAATAGTGATTTGGAAGTGTTTAAAATTAATAATTTTAGTGAAAATTAAATAATAATTAGACAGATGACAATAGAAAATATGGATATACAGTTAAACATATTTAATGGAACAACAGAAGATTCGCAATATTCACAGGTATGTTTTGCAATGTTTTTATACTTTATTTACAGAGTGAAAATATTTTTGTTAAAAAAATTCTATTTTTAGTTGAAAATCAACCGTGAGTTGTTAAAAACATTTACTGAAAAGGCAGATAAAAAGTCACGGTTGAAAGATAACCTTAAAAATACTCAAACTCCAATTGTTGGTTCCGGAGTTAAAAAAAGAATAAAACAAAAATCATTAGCAGCTATTGTATCTAAAAATTTAGCTAAAAATAATTTAAAACCAATTTTAAAAGGTAGTAAAAATATTGAAGATAAGACAATAGTAAAAGTTAGAAAACATGAACAAAATAAAGTAGAATCAAATACTGATGATACAGTTAATAAACCATTAGTGTCATTTGTTAAACCTTCAGAAATTAAATTAAAAACAATTATTGCTAAAACAAAAGTCAATCAAGACTCAAAGAAATCATTAACTAATATATACTCAAAAAAAGATAATAGTGCAGAACAAAAGGATAATGATGTGACTTTATTAAAAAATAGAGTAGTTTCTGAAGAATCTAGAAGTAATTCTAAACCAATTGCAAATGATAAAAATTTTCCAAAGAATAAAAAGATAAATAAAAAATTAAACAATACAGAAAACTCTTCAGCGTCAGGAGAAAAATTAGATAAAACTTTTTATAGACCATCCGGAAAAATTTCTTCATTATTTGGAAATAATCCAGAGATTCCAAGAATAGGTCAGAGGTTCGTTAAACCTGTACATGAACCAGTTTTTACTAAAGTTGATTTTGCTGACCTTGGGATTCATCCTTATATGGTTTGTACTTATTTGAATATTTTATTATTAATTTTTTTGTTAGTCTTTCAAGAATAAAACAATTATCAATACTTTAGATATCAAACTTGGAGCAAAATATGAAAATTACGAAAGCAACCACAGTTCAACAAAAAGCAATACCCATGATTTTGTCCGGTAATGATGTATTGATTAGATCTCAAACAGGTTCTGGTAAAACGTTGGCTTATGCTCTCCCTATTGTAGAATCATTACAAAGAATCAGACCAAAGCTATCGAGAAATGATGGTTTGAAAGCACTTGTAGTTGTACCGACAAGAGAATTGGTTTTGCAAACTTATGAATGTTTTCTTAAACTTATTAGGGTAAGATTACAACAATCTTATTAATTAACATCGTAAAGAATAATGTATCTTATTCAAATAGCAAAATGTATATTTTATTTTAGTCATTTGCGTGGATTGTACCAGGGTATTTATTAGGTGGTGAAAAGAGGAAAGCAGAAAAAGCTAGACTAAGGCGTGGTTGTACTATTTTAGTAGCAACGCCAGGTAGATTATTAGACCACATTAAGCACACAGAAGCCTTAAAAATGAGCGATGTTAAGTGTTTAGTATTAGATGAAGCTGATCGTATGCTTGATATGGGTTATGAGAAAGATATATCTGAGTAAGTACTTATTATATATCTATTGATTTATCTATACCTACCATTTGAATGAAATATTATTTTATAAAAGATGATAAAACTTTTATAATAAATTCAATCATCAAAAAGCAATTGAAACTATTAAACTTTTTTTTTTAATCGTGAAATAAATTTTTTAGTATCGTATCTGCTCTAAATGTATCTCAGTCACAAGAAAATACCACTTACGATGCTATGGAAATTTTTCGTCAAAATAGAAGGAAAATTTTCACCGATAATGAGACTGGTTCTGAAGATCATAAATCTAAAATACAAAATGATGATGACAATAAAACAAATATAAAAGAAGATCAAAATAAGCAGGAGGTTGATTCAGCAGTGAATAAAGTTACTTCAGGCAGACAAACTATATTGTTGTCTGCTACATTGACAAATGCCATTGAAAAATTAGCAGGACTCACGATGACTAATCCGATATTCATTGATGCTGCTAAAGAAAATTTACGCGATGTTAATGGTAATGCCAATGAAGTTAATGAAGATTTTATTATCCCTGATGGTGTCATTCAAAGTTATGTTGTTGTTCCACCAAAATTAAAATTGGCAACGTTGTGTGCTTACATTATTGGAAAATGTCAGGTAAATTGATAAAATAAATATATTTTTAATTTCATTACAAAAATAAATCATATTCAAAAAATATAACCTGTTATTTTTTGACTATTTTTCAGAGTTCTGGACATCATAAAATACTAATATTCATGGCTACACAGGATATGGTGGATTATTATATCGATATTTTATCATCAGTCTTGACCGAGTCAGAGGAAGAAGAAGACGAAGAAGAGTTGGAGCCACTAGTAGATGTAGAATTTTTTAAATTACATGGAAACATGACACAGAAAGAAAGAACAGAAGTCTTTAAAACATTCAGAGAAACTCGAAGTGGAGTACTTTTAAGTACGGTAAGTTTATGATAAATTTTATTTATTTTTTAAACTTTTTTTTTATTGCATGTTGTTTAATATACACTGTAATATCATTGTAATGCCTTCACCCATCACTTGTACTTTAGTGAAGTACATTAACTACCGCTGTTTTATTCATTTGGCGCCGAAACTCGTACCTAACTGTGTTGCATTCATTTAATTAATCAACTCTCACCACAAAAGAAATGAATAAAAAATATAAAATAAAATATATTGATGTATAATCGTTCCGTGAAAGAATTTTTGTATCCACTGGATGTGCCCCCCTACTGTTGTAAGATTTTTCGGACCATCAAGTGGAGTCTTGTATACCCGCGACACTAAATCATAAGCTAGCCAAACATAGAGAGTCGTTGAAGGACGCCCTTAGTTTCAAACGTTCACCGTTGGAGACCCCAGCAGGCATCATTTCGAGTTGGTTGTTTGTCACAAAACAAAAAATTGATTCAGTTTGTAAGATATTTGTAAGAGGCAGAATGAGAATGAGGAGTTTGCTTTGGAGTTTACCGCCAACATTATGTATAGAAGACAACCCAATTATTTGTTACAGGACGTGGCTGCTCGTGGTCTGGATCTGCCAATGGTTGACAGTGTCATACAGTTTACAGGACCAATATCAGCACGAGACTATGTGCATCGAATAGGACGAACAGCACGTGCTGGATGTTCTGGTTCTGCTGTCATTTTCCTCACGCCATCAGAAATGGAATTTGTACGGATGTTGGAGTCTAGGCGAGTACGAATAAAGCAAGAGGACATGGATGACATGCTGAATAAGTTAATCGGGCCTCTATCGAGATATAATTCTCTACAGTCTGCAGCAACAAACCTTCAAAATAAATTCGAAAATCTTGTATTGAATGATTCTAAGCTGCATAAAGCTGCTTGCAAGGGTGAGCATTAAATACAATATTTGCCTAAACTTGTAATGAAGTGTTGAGTAGCTGGAGAGACTTGATTTTGTTTGATCATGACGGAAACCAAGTGACTCTAACAGCGAGGGGTTCAGCCAATTTTTATAGCACCCTGGTAGCATATAAAGTCACCCCACATGCTGTCGTGTTATGGGAGCTTCTTTCCTTCTTTGTCATTTCTAGCAGTTATATTTACATAGTATATGAGCAAGGAGGGATGATCTTGTTTGTCAAGCCATGGTTACTCTATTAGGGTTGTTATAGGGAGGAATTTATTTGCTGTAATAATAAATCTATTACCGAGGCCACTCGCATTCGTTCACAGAGGCGTTTTCAAAGATTGTTTTTTATTATTCGATTAAGATTTAAATTCTGAATGTATCTTCCTAATGTCATTCTCAAGTTAATAGATACATTTCTTTTTAACTAAGTATTAATAAATTGTGGTTTTTTCGAAAGAAAAAAACATTTCCTTTCTCATGAATTATCATTATTTCCATTTAAACAAGTACTTATTTGTTCTGGGTCAAAGATTGACTTTTTTCCATGTCACCAATCATTTTTGCGTGACGCCATTGAAATGATTACAGTAGAAGTAATAATAACCATGATTATGAAAATATTCATTTATTGGTTATATGAATAATAGAATTTTTTTTGGGTTTATATTTCTGATAGTTTTTGTGCTATTTAATAATTAAACTAATATGCAATTCAATAACAAGTTTAAATTGTGATTTCTCAATTATGTTTTTTATTTTTTTTTTTTTTTTTAGAGTTACAATAATTTATATTTTACTTCTTCGATTGAACTCAATTTTACACGAAGGTTAGGCACGCTTTTTCAGCAGTTAAGAGATTTAGATTTGACTGACGGTACACGGCAAACCACTTGACCATTTCTTTTTTCGTGTCGAATGATTGATAGATTAATTGCCAACGGCAATTCGTGGGAATAAAAATTGCGAGATCAATAGAATTCAGTGCAATTTGTCACGCCTGTGGGAAAAATCTATATAAACTTTTATGGAGACTTTATCACACATTGTTTGTAGCTATATCAAATCCTTCTATACGGTCCCCAATCTTTATTCTATAAAATACAATCGATCCATTAACTACACTCAAATAAATAATTAACTTTATAAATGAATAATTTTTTTTTATCAAGAAATTTTATTACTTTTAAGTCAATATGTTGAATTTTTTGGATAAATATTTTTGTTGAAATTTCATTGATGTGGAAAGAGGACATAAATTTATTTCATGAGTAAAAATATTTTTGAAATTTATTCGATGTGATCGTATAACTATCAAAGTCTATAACCCAAAGGCGTGGAGTGGAAATCTCGCTAATTCCTAATATTATCACCCCAATAGAGCTGAACAGTCCTTAATACCAAGTATTGCTTTATAGAACAACCCCCTGGGTTTTCTATCCCTCGCCACTAAGCTAAGGGATTCATCCACTCAATCCCATATATGCGACTCACACCCTTCTTCACTCGTGCCAAGTGTGAAGCATACTCTCTTTGCCATAATTTTGATGTTGATCTTTTTTCATTTCTTACAACAATTCAATTTACTTAACCCATACATTAATTTAAGCTGAATTTCTTTTCTATTTAATATCTCGACGAAGCTTGTTCTGAGTAAAAGTAATTTTTTTAATTAGAAAAACTGATAGACATTGTAACGAGTTACTTCAAATGTGGTTTTAGTAAGCACGAACGCCTTTTGGAGGGTATAGTAGTAGTGGGTGTGAGGGCCGACACAATCCAACCACTGAATGTGGCTTCCGCCGAAACCACTTACGCTTTGTGGCGAGAGAGTCTTAACAATGCGATACAGGATACAAATACAATAAGACGCAGTTACATCACTTAGGAACAATGCTTACCCGGCGCTCAGAGGCTTCTCCACCCATCACTCTCTTGCTGCCGCCCTCTCGTCACCGCCTTTCATTAGATTTATGTGTTAAATGGAGAAAAACATTTATTCTTTTTTATCCTGTGACTTCTTTAGGATTAACTATAACAAAGAAAATTATAAGCATCTTCAACCTTTGTTATTCCTATTATTTTTTATACCATCCACTTCAAATCTCATTCTAACTTTTTTCATCTTATTTTCAGCTTACTTGTCGTGGATCAGATTTTATTCAAGTTATCCACGAGAAATGAGAGGGATTTTCAACCGGAAGGATCTTCACCTGGGACATTATGCTAAGTCCTTCGCTTTAAGAGATCCACCCCAAAGGATAGGAGGCATTGGAAAGAAAATTCGAGAAAAAAATCCAACCAAGGTTCACAATAATAGACTCTCTAATGAAAGGTAATAAGTTGTCTAAATATTTTTATATCTCCAATTAGTTAAATAAATCTATTGGAGTTGAGATGTAGGCCAAGCAATCACAAGTAGTATATCTAATCTATTGCCAATTGTAAATGACTCACTTATTATTTTGACCCACATAATCATAGTTGACATTATGAAAAACTAGTTTATGATATCATAAACTTCTATATTATGTTTATTGATTACGTATCAATATTAACAATTAAACAAAAGAATATATAATTTTGTTCATTCTAAATTTATCTTAAATTTTTATGCTTTCAAGTAATTAACTTTTCAGCGAATTAGTGTTTTTATTTAATGTATCCATATAAAGTCAATAATTAAAGAATACAGAAATAATTATAAAATTTTAAATGTCCAATTACTATAATAATAGCATAGTGCCCGTCATAATTATTTATGCATATTGGTGTTTTATTTAGTGATTACATTTAATAGAACTAATTTTAAAATATTATTTATTACTTTACAATCTTCTAGAGCATAACTTACTCCTATGAAAGATCAAAACAAAATTATTCTGCGTAAATTATTTACATGTAACATTGTTGCAACATGCAACATTTCTTTGAATCAAAATCACTTACCATCAAGGTCTCATGAAAATTCAAACTAATTATAATTACCCAATGCTAATAGATCAATTAAACAATTATCTACAAAAGTTGACGTGAAAATAAAAAATATAAAATGATAAAAAATTTTTCCTTAATTAATACATGAAATGTATGAAATCGAATTAAGGATTGATAAAGGATTTATGGGTGGCTTTATATTACGGACGATGAGACAAGAGCTAGAAGCGTACATTGGACGTCGAAAGCTTCGTGTGGTGTCATTCGTCATGTACGACAAGCGGACATGATGTCGTATGGTAGCAATGGCATACGCAGCCTTTCCTCTTTCTCTCTCTGTCTCTGGATTTCTGCACGGGGTTGTACTTGGTGTAGCATTCGTTGATGTGAACGTATATGCTCTCACTTGCCAAGCCCCACTCACTAAGCATCGTTCCTGCCTCTCGAGGCTTCTCCATTGTTCATAATTATACAATACGGCTATTAAACAGACTGATGCGACCACCACTTCCGGCCTGTAACTCGGTCATTTATGGAAGCAAAAATTAAGAGCTATCCTGTCATTCGATTTCTGTTCATCTTATAGACATTGTACACCCTTAACTCCAACATCTGTTATATTTGATTATTACTTAATCATTTTTTTTAGTTTTAGTTCATTGATTGAATTGAAAGCTGTTAGGAAACGTGTGAATATTAAAAATTACTTGTCACTAATATGGACAAACTGTACGGAGGTTATTACTAAATTTGAACAGATCTATGGCAATTTAACCGTAGGCGGTATATATGAATAAGCCCTCGAATGTCATACTATACAACGTCGCGAAGAAGACAAAAAATGGATGGGAACAAGAAAGAATTCGGCACGGCCGTTGGTAGTCACGCTCTGCTCACCGGTATAATCTCACTTTGGAGCGAATCATTTTTTGTCAATTTCTCATTATAATGCTATCCTCACCGCCGGGCACCCCGACGTGGACCACATGTCGTTTACATCAAATCATCAAAAATTACTAAGTTTAACTATAGATGTAAAAGTTCAAAACTCTCTTGCAGGCTTTCACATGTATTAATCGTTTGAAAAAAAATTGTGCAGTCAGCACGTGGTATTTTTTTTCTTAATTACGTTTTAATTTAGTTCGTCTTAGATTTGATGAGTGATACGATAAGTTTATTTTCAAAATATTTCATAAAAAATATCTATTTGTGTAATGAATAAGCAGAAAAAATAAATACACTTTTTAATCATTAATAAATATCAGGTTTTCATAAATTTTTTTCAATTTATGATGGATAACTGTATAACTTGTATTTTTTTGCTTGTTCCAGACTGTATAACTTGTATTTTTTTGCTTGTTCCAGACCTGAAAGGATGAAACATCAGAAGCCAAAGAATGAAGGATTAGGAGCTGAAGTGCTAAAGAGATCGCGAATGCTGAATGTTTCCGAGTATGGTGATGGATTAGAGCCTGTAAAAAAAGCAAAACATTGATGATTTGATGTCAATTGTCGCGAGGTAAAATATTGAAAGTAATTACATGAATTTCAATGGTTCAACAATGATCGATGGTTGTGCTCACCATACGAGTGATTACTGAGTCTCGTTGGCTGCAGTGCCTCCGAGCCGACTGGTACATTGGAGAATGCCAAGGGTTGTTATATGAGCTAGAGAAGGAGCAAGATGAAAAGAGAAAAGATAATTGTATAATGGAGGCAGATATGATTAATACGATTGCATTATTTTCCAATTTTTTGCGGTGGTGCAATGGTCAATGAAAATTACTTGCAAATAAAGGCGGTGTCTCGTAAAGATATTGTGGTGGTATGCACAATTTATAAAGGGATTTTAATTCAATTTAATTATGCACTCTCTTTTCTTTATCATTGCATGGAGAGATGGATGGCCTTAGAGGGTTGATAGCGTGAATTACCGGATCTTAATTTACCTGATGAGAAAAGGCAATGCGACATGGTGTATTATTGGAGTTACGATAAAAATCCACACTCCCACTTGGAGCTATTCATTGTATTTAATTATTTTCATTACCTGAGAGTGCAGTTTTCTATACCAAACTACTGCGAAATCTGTTTGGTAACGCACTGGCATCCTTGAAATTAGCATTTTATAGGGGTGCGGTGTATACTACGGTGTGGAAACGGTTTATTGGCCTGTCGTGCAAAGAAGCCATAGACCGCTGTCGGTTCAAATATACACGTGGCGAGTTATTTCACATATTCGCATGTATATTACTCTCACTACTTATGCCATTCACCACTAAATTGACTCTCATTGGTTACTTAACATTTCGGTTTAACGCCTGAAACATGTTAATCCGTGATTTTAGAATAGATTGGAGATATGAGAAGACTTTCAAAAATGATTTATTTGCTAGAGAAATTTTTTTTATAGAAAATGTTTTTTTTATTGCTGTGTATTTTTTCAAATGGCTAAATGTTTATTACTTGAATTAGATAAGAATTAATTTATGATAGAAATAAACATTTCGATAGAATAGAAAAAAATCACGTTAATTTAGATGTAAAAAAATGTTGTAACAATTTTAAGTACATATTTTTTAATTAGCTAGTGAATAGATTTATAAGAAAAATATTTATAGATAATCACATCGATAAAGCGAAGTTAGTTTTAAAATAATATAAGTGCTTCTTCAAAAAAAGATAGAAGATTAATCATGGTTAATAATAATATATGTAGTTGTAAGTAAAGCAATGAATTAAATTTTTTGATACTTTGATATCGAAAGAAAAGAAAAAAAAAATTCATCAAAATTATAGAATATACATTACATAGAGAAAATTATTCAACTTAAAATATGATAATATATTTTACAAAATAATTTTACTGTATGTAAATATATGAATTAAGTTAAAGTACTCTTGTTAGAGTAGAGTTAGAAATAAAATATAACATATATTTAAGAAGATACTAACGAGGAAATATGAAATGTAAATCATATGATTAACTTTTTATAATAAAATATGCAAAAAATCGTAAAGCAAATGATATGGTACACATTTATCATAAATTGTTCCGTCAAATCTTTCCTGAACTCCGAACATATCAATCTATAATTTAAAAATCATTAAGAATAAAATGTTTCTATTATTTTATTTGATATTTTAATTAAAAGAGTATGTTATCATCACGTTATACCGTTTGTATATAGTTATATCCGCTTAAAATTCTCCAACTTTTTTTTTATTTCATATTAGCAGTTAGTGTCACGAAACCTTCGTGATTTTTCTTGTACCGGAATAACGATAATAGCTTAGTGTATTGCCATTACTTAACTTGTATTATAATTAACACGCTCAATGCGTAAACTTTCCCAGGAGGAAAGTGAGAGCGACGTATGTTTGTAATCACGTTGTATATGCGTTTATAATGGTACCATTTCCTCAAGATATAACTATTGTATCCTCACTCTATAACTTTATATACTCAGATATAATTCATTTAATTATTTATTCAGTAAAATTAAAAATTTTTTATAGCTATTAATTAAACTTCTTAAAAAAAATAATTCAAAATTAATTCTGATTGATTAATGTGCGTTAATGCATTGTTAAGATTGTAATATAGGACAATTAATCTACGCAATTGAGACATCTAAGTTAATTAGTTATAAACAAGGATCCTGATCTCAATGGAAGTCATAATTGCTCAAGTTCTCACATCAAGATACACACACATAAAATGCTATAATAATTCTTCTTGTTGTATTCGCGTTCTTTGAGCGCATTCTATCGTGCTCACGCTCATCGCGCGCAAAACACGCGCGTTCTTATACACTTGAAGTAATAGCAACAATTACTTTATTTTACTCATCTTCCCGGTTCTCAACTTACCTGTAATTTCATTTTCTAGCATTAATCACGCGGCGATCTTTCGTTTGTTTTGAGAAATCCTCACTTAACTTTCTTTTCACTCGCCATAATAACATAATTAAATAATGTCCAATGAATATAATGATAAAACGTTGCTGTAGGTCTTGGTGGTGGTAGATGAGTCCATGTGTCATGTGTAAATCATACTTTCCAGTTAATTGTAATTTTTTTTCTATTTCTGGTAACAATCAGTGTCATCACAATTTAATAATTAAATATCATTTCGCGCCTCAATCATGTGTCATGTTTGTTGAACTGTTTATAAAAAATAAAAGAAAAAATAATAAAATGATGAGCTTTAATATAATCTACTTACTGATCTTGTATTTAACGAATCAGCAGTACGATATCTGACTACTGCTGTAGCTGCTGCTATGAGAAGTAGTAAAAAAAGCAAATTGTAAAGGAAAGGCGGGAGGAGGTCTCGAAAATTATTCTGATATAAAACTCATCCCGGCACGTTGGCGTCAAAGGAGCCAATTTAAAAAGCCCCTTCCAAGATTATCAGTTTCTCCCTTTTGCCTTTCCTTTTTTCTCCCACTTGTGCGCTTCGTTGCGGCACTTAAAAAAAAATGAATTAAAAAAAAGCTTCGAATTGGTAAACTTCCAGGTAATTTATCCATCCACTACTTATTTGAATATTCTTCTTTGTGGTTGAAAAAGAACGTTTGAAATTTTCTCTCTTTTTATTTACTTTATGATGATCATCATCATTGTTATTATCATTTGAAGGATTATTAACACTCACAAACCATCAACGTTTTAGGGCTTCTTATTATCTGCTAACGTGCACACCGGAACGAGCTATAAAATAAATTACAAAGTCGTAGAGACTTTTTTGAAACGAAAAATAGTTTTTTTAAGTTTTGTTATTTTAACACCATTTTGGTGGTTGAATGTATAGTTTAATTGAATTGCTTCGAGCGATTGTTAACAGCTCGATGACGGGTCTTCGCCGCACTCACGTGAGATGTTGTGAATTTTAAAAAGCCTTCCAGCTTAGCACACGCGAACCTCCACATGTCGACATATGGCAAATCGGACGTCAACTTTATTGGCAGTTCTATTATTACTCCTGCCGACAGATCTTTGACTAGAAAATTTATACTTCTATTGAAAAATTTTGTCTTGCCTTTTCAACTCTAAATTTATTCTATTCTTTTATTAAAAGAGATAGTCTCCAGTCTAACTACATAATGAGTCTGTGTTAACACATTGTTAAATTATTAATTTTTTTTTTCAGAAAATTGTTCTCAAGGTGTGCCAATTTAGTGAATTACTGGAAATGAGTGTATGATGAAACCCAAGATGTTCTAGATACAAATGAATATTTTGATAATTTTTTTGTGCAATTCTACATTGTCGTAAGTAGTTTAAACATATCTTGAATCAACCGTTCCATCTACAACAACAATAACAACACTAAATAGCTTTTATTAACATAAAAAAAACATTTGTGAAAAATTAAAGAAATCATTACTCATAAATTTATCTATAAAGTCAAATTATATTATATTTAATTAGAAAATGCATTATGTATTTTGGTTTGCAATTTATATGGGATTGCATGCGATATTATATTTATAAAAAGCATGTGTGATATTAATTTATTATATTGCATAATTGAGAAATTAAACAAAAAGAAAGAAACATAGAAATTAATTATTTCATTTTTTTGTACATAATGGAAAAATTTTCCACTACATAAATTCATTTATCTTGTCATTAATTAATTTTTTAACTAAAAATAACTCTAATCATTTCAATTAATTCTTTACTTAAATTTTATTATAATTTTTAAGTGCAAAAAAAATTATTCTTTATAAATATTTAAATTATTTATTTTAATTATAATTGAAAAAAATAATAGTAAATATGTGTATGTAAAGAAGAGAATAATATTGAGATAAATAGATGGATTATTGATAAGTAGAATAATTATTTGAGGGTGAAAGGGTAGATTGTACGCATGTAGAATCATTTATTAACTGATTTAATCTTGGTAAAATATTTTGAATGACATAATAAGTCGATAAACAGCAATTGAAATTTTCTAAAAAAAAAAAAAGGCATAAAAGAGTTTTCTTCGATAAGAGATAAATACTTGTAGATACACATGAATCATTTAAAGATAATTCGGGGTGATTTTAGCACATAAAGTGTAAGAGATAGTCGGCTTGAACAATGATAAATTATGTGTAAATGACGCCTGTCATGGTAAACACCTTTTCCAACAGTAAATGAGTATATCTCTGGGGAGGTGAGTAATCGATGGGCAAATGGATTTCCCGATAGTGCATTATGAACAGTCTATATGTAGTAGCAGCACGATATTGCATCTAAATCTTAATGACTTGCAGTATAGGTAGAAAATTACAATTACAAGACAGAGAGACTCGATTAATACAGTTTTATCAGAATGCATGAGTACTTGTTATTAAGCTGAAGTGCACTGTCGACTATAAAAGAGCGTTCACACATGTATCAACAAATTTTCATTGCGCAGCGCGTTATGTGTAGTGTGCGGCAATGATTATAACGAGGGAATAGCGTGCTAAGGTTTTATAATTGAAGCAAACATTTCTCGCGATTCGGTTAGTGATCGTGGAAAAGTATATTGTCTTTGACTCACACTCTTTTATTAGTCTATCCTTTCTTTCTCTTTAATACCCTTTTTCATACACTCCCACCCTCTCTTAGCCCATTTATTTTTATTTACGGAAGCATTCCCGTGGAGACAAAGTGCCTGCGCGACGCCGCGATAAAAGCGTTCGGGGGAAAAGCTCTTCTCGAGAATATAAATTCCTCCGGGTAACTCTTGTCTCTTTTATTTCGCTCGCTGTCTTCTTCGCAAGAGAGCCAAAAAGATGGGAATGGATCGCGAGACTCAAAATGGCGGAGATTACGCGAAATTATGCAAATTTAGCTGAGGCATTGTAAAGTGTGCGATGTTTTTCGTTTTATTAGAGCGCGCGCGTTGGTTTGCGAGAAAAGAGGGAGAGTTGGTTGGCTATTCTCGCTCGTATAACCGAAACAAAAGCTTAACTAACGTAGAGACAAAGAGTACTACGTGCGAGTATATAGGGCTGAGGTGAATCTCTCGAGGGCACACATGCAACGAATTTAACTGCTTCCCCAGAGCATTACTCTTACTAACTTTCTTTTATTCCTCCTCCTCTATCACCTCTTCCACTACACTCACTGCAATCACATATTTTTTCAATGGTAACTGACTAGCTAGTGTTATGCGCATAACAATCAAGCTCAAATTACCTCTAGCGTTAGTCTCATCATTATTTTTCTGTCGTCAAGTTAATGTATAATGCCTAGGCATAGTAGCACCTATATTAAATGGATATCTATGTATATAGTTATATTGGACTCTTAAAAGGTGACTAAATCAACCCCTATACTGACTCTGACTTACCATTAATTAATCGTGTCCCTCTCTCTTTCTCTTCATTCCTCTTTCTTACTCTCCCTGGTGTAATTCACGTGCGCCAAGTCAAACCTAATTAATTACCCGACCTCTTT